TCATTTCAAAAGCGATCTTTCTACATCAACATAAATCTCATAACCTAATGTGATGCGCACGGTAGAAATGCACACATTTTGAGCTGTTACAGCTATTTACTGTACAGATTTCAAAATTATGGTAACTGCAGAGTTATCATAATTCTGCAGAGTTATCATAATTCTGCAGAGTCACTGCAGAGTTATCATAATTCTGCAGTGATCATAAAGGAAAATACAGAAAATTCATTTAGACTTAGTGATGGTGAGTCCTATGTTTCTACATAAACGTATCTCAGCAAACCCCACGGTAATTAAGGCTTTTCTCCTTACAGTTCCATCTTCTAATTGCACTTGGAGGAAACGGTCTCCAGCTTTGTAGTTTTTCGTGATTTCTGCGGATTGCCAAACTTCTTCATTATCAGGGATCCACACCCTGTTGTACTACAACAGAAAAACAAGGTAACGGTTAGCTATTATCATAAAACAAGACTATAAAAAGATAGTTTTCAAAAAAATCAAGTGCAACCTAAATGCTAAAGTGTATGCCAGGACTGTCTAGGATTACTCTTAGCTCTGACACTTTCATTGGGGTGTATTTTTGTGCTTTAGTGATTTCTTGAGGGGAAAAAAAAAAAAAAAAAAAAAAGAGAGAGAGGCAACAGACAATTTCAAATATACTTGTTCTACTCCTGTTTAGCATGAAGTCTGCAGAACAGCACTTAGAGTAGTAACTGAACAATGGCCAGGCTGTTGCCAGGCTCTTCAAACACTCTATAAAGAATAAAGAATAAAACAAGCTTACAGCACAGCCTTGACTCTTTGGAGAATTTAAATGAGTAAGCAAGTACCAGAGAAAGTATCTCATTTAGTAGAACTTAGACAATCACTTCCTTGAATTCAAATACAGGATACTGAATTTAGAAATCATTTTGCCATAGGTACAAATATACACACAAGAAAGAGACTACACAGTTACTTTTCTTCTAACAGGACCAAAATGTAACTTCCCAATAACATCCTCCCCCGTTCTGGGGTGAACTTCAAACACTACTGGCAGGTTGTTTTCTTTACAAGCAATCTGCTGCCTCAGCTGCAATCATTCCCAGTAAGACCCTTTAGCTCTGTCTCAGGAAGAAAACACCATTCTTGGAAGCACTTACTTCCAGTGGAAGCAGATAAATTTTAATTTCCTTATAGGTATTTGGAGAATGGAAACAAGAGAATTACTTCTAGCCTTCTGAAGCGTGGTTATGTAAGTGTAAATTATGTTGTACAAGCCATCCAGTTTTCCTATCTTGAAGATAAAATGCTAAAATATTAGCAATGTCTTTCAGTTCTCTGACCAAGGACGTATAGGAAACAGCATTCCTTAGGACATAACAGCTGGAAGCCTTAGTAAGTCAGGAATTTCTTCACTGACGTGCAGTTGTCCTTCTCTTCCTGCCATGGTCTAATAAAGCAGCAGCATCTCTAAAAGACCCCCTAACGCATCACCTGTATATCAATTGGTACTGTTTTAAATAACACTGAAATCACTTCTATTCAGAAACTTGCAGTTTGATACCATTTCTGACGTGTCAAAATATTTTTGCACTGTATTGCATATATATCACGTGGCAATGAAAATGACACTGAAGATTGGGCTTGAAGAAGAAAGCAGGAGTAAGGACAGAGATGTCAAGGGGAAAAAAAAGCATGAAAATCACCAGTACGTACTGTACTGAGTTTCTTGTGGGCCCTCTCTCCTCTCATTTGTGATTTAGTAACATCTGAGCCAGAACCATTCAGTCCCTATTCTCGCAAGCAACCATGTCATATAATCTTGTATCAGCATCTGTTCTGATAGCCAGAAACCTCCATTTAATTCTCCTATCCTAGCTATACACATGGTCAGCTTATACCAGCTTTGTGCTGTTTAAATAAGCCCGTGACAGTTGCTGCTGCTTCTTACTTGAAAAAATTAACATTAGACAAGGATTTCATGAGGTGTCAGCATGCCCCCAGATACCTCAGAGACTCTCAAACATTTTCATTTTGTTGCTTCAGCTGTTACTTTTTGCAGAAATGACTTTTCCCCCCTCTCTACTCTGTGGGAAGCCTTGGCAGCCCCAGCAGATCCTCAGAACGTGGCAGCCTCCAGCCCAAGGACCCTCCCAAATGACTTCTGTGTCATTCCTGCACAGCGTTGATTTCCTGGCCTTTAAAAATACTTACATACCTGTTCACAGCTGTTAAATGGAATTCTCTATTTGCTGTTATTCCATGAGTCAAGAATCTAACAACCAAATAACCTCAGAACACAGCATGTTCCCATGTAACCGAGGGAACTACAGCAGGACATGGTCAAGAAAGGGACAGGAAAAAGGCATGGGATTGAAGCAGTTATTCTTCAGAAAATGTCCCTGTGATTCCAGGAGCCTCCATTGGCAAATGTACCCAGCCTACCACAGCTCGGTTTCTCCAGACCCTGCCTTACAAGTAAACACAAGGGCCTGAGCTCATTTTCGTATCAAGTTACACCCATGCTCCTTCCTCCCCGCCACCTCTGCACCTTTCCTCCCGATTTACAAAAACGCATGTTCTTCCAGCTGCTCAGCGTGGTGTTAGTACAGCAAACAGACAAAAACCACCGCAGCAAAAGGCCAAATCGAGTTTAGTATGGCATCTAGTTTTGTGACAGAAGAGACGGGCCTGGAAGGCAGCAATATGCACGTGTTTTGTTATTTAAGGCTCAGCAAACAGATTATACATCGCAATGCTGGCCACTGGAAAAGTGGGAAACGTGAAAAAAATACACCGGCTGCGCTCAGGAGAAAGAATCTTTGTTTTAGTTCCCAAATCTGTCTAACATATTAAATACCTGCATGAAAACGGAGCACTCTGAGGTTGAGTGACCAGCAGACTGCTTATACTTAAGAACTGCCCATGAGCAGGTCAGCGCGTCTGCGCCCTGCACCCACACGGCATGACAAGTCGCAGAAAATAAGTGGTTTTCTAGAAGATGTAGAAAAAGAAGCACCGTGTTTTCCCAGGGTGTCCTGGGGTTTTACAGTCTATTAGCTGTAGTTCTCTGTTATTTTTTTGGTTTGCGGGTTGCAGCGCACGCCGGCCAGCCCCGAGCCCTGGCCCTGCCCACGGCAACCGGCAGCGAGCCCCCGCTTTCCCTCAGAGCCGCGTTAACGCCGAAATCGATCAATTCCCGTTTAAAAGCCGCTTATGTTATATTTTCTCTGCTGAAGCACAAACCCGATCTGCCTTCGTGGCGTACCCACGAAGAAGATGACGCGTCAGGTCCCGAATCGTCGAACTTTCAGTCACGCAGGGGAAATAACTTCTGACAGACACGCAGCTGCGAAACAACGGGGAGCTTCGCGGCCGTCGCCCGGCTCCCCTTGCCCCTTTCCCCTTATCCCCTTTCCCCCTTATCCCCTCACAGGGCGGCCTCGCCCCCCGCGCAGCAGCCGTTGCCCCCCGTGATGGCGGCCGCGCGCTCACCTGCGTGTAGAGCTCGGCCAGCGCCATGGGCGGCCCCGGCCCCGGCCCCGGCCCCGCTCCGGCCACCGACGCGCTGCGGCCCTGCCGGGGACAGGTGGCCGCGGCGCCACGGCCCGCCCCCGGCCAGCGCCCCCGGGCCGGATCCTGGCCCTGCCCCGGGCCGGGCGCGGTCCTGCCCTGGGGGGAGAAGGCGGCTCCTGGAGCAGGGCGTTTGCTTCAGGCGCTGCCGGCACCCGAGGGCGCTCCGCGGAGCCGGGGTGGCCGCTCCTGTGCCCCCTCCAGGACCGTGGCGTGGTCGCTAACAGCTACCGGAGGTAGCGCCGAACAAGTCGGAGCGGTGTTAAGTACCTGTGTGAGCTCACACGGCAGCTCGTTATTTGTGCAGGTATGTAAGTATAGGGGGTGAGCAGCAGGCGCAGTGATTACATAGACGGGTGCAGGCCTTGAAGTGCTGCTAGGCAAAGCTGGCATCTTGGATGCATCTTTAGGGATTAAGAACAACAAATTGTCTAGAAACCAGAGGGATCATGAGGGCAGCTGTCCCTGACCAAGGAGGAAAGGGTGGGAATACTGAGCACCTTGCTATAGGATACCATGAAGGAGTTTCTCCAACAAACTCAGAATATGATTAAGAAAAACACAAAAACAGCCTCAGAAAACATTTCATAATCTTAGGGCACTCACAGGTACTACACTTAAATATTATTTGTGAGAAAGAATATTTGAATAAATATTGTACTTGTTTTGGCAGCTGGAAATAGTCTCAGAGGGCCGCCACTCCTCCCTGCCTGCCTGACGCTGTGGAACTTCCATGGCACAGTCAGAGTGTAGAGCACTACAAATCTGACATCTGATCTTAATGATACTTGGTAAAATATTTGGTTAAAAATAGTGTATTATATCAAACAAAATATTTTCAAATACGCCCCCAAATTTATGACACACTGCCAATATGGGAATAGGTGTTCATACATTGAGTCCTCAGATTTTAACCAGCTACTTTCACAGTCACCAGTGCCAGCACAGAGCTTATAAATTCTAGCTAAGGTTAAGAACTTGTGATGGTTCTGGATTTCCATACAGGTGTTTTTGAATGCGGGGTCACCATTTGCAAAGAGATCCTAGACAGGGGCTAACACGGTGTAGTTCAATCTGTTATCTTGGGAAATGTACCCAAAGCAATTCTTAATAAATACACTCAAGTGGCCAAAGCAGGGCAAAGCAACAGAAATAATGAAGCAGTCTTTAACAGCTCCTAGAGTTATTCCAGAAAAGAAGGAGAGGAAAGACTGTGTTTTTCAGCTACCCAGAGCCTTGGCCGAGAAGACTGGCCCCTACATAAGGCTGCTAGAATTCACCTAACAGTGGGTAACAGACGGAAAGCCTCCTCCAAGAGGAGGCTGAGGACAAAAGACAGGATAGTAATCCATTTAGTCCAAAGAAAGTCCAAAGCTCAGTCAAAAGTATGACAGCCACATATCTAAGTATTCAAAACAAACAAACAAACAAAACAGAAACAAAGAAAATCTTACAGCCGTGTTTTTATTTGGACATTTTCCAGTGATAGCTATTAGGCTACAGTTCTTATGATGCATACATTTACTAAGTACAACATCAGACACTACAACAGATCAGAGCTCAGGTCATTCTGACAATGTTTTGGTTTTCATCTATGTACCGTGGTGGTATTGAGTGAAAATCTATGTTTAAAGGCTTTTATTAACCAGATGAAGTATCAGCATCTTAAAAAAATGTTTACTTAGAGTACTCATACAGTATTTGAAATGTGTTCAGTTTAAATCACAAATTACACAGACCTTCAAATTGCAAATGCTGGTGTTTCCAAGTTGGGAACAAATGTTACCAGGTGTCAATCTGCTTTTCAACACTGAAGTTGATCCTGCTTTTTTCCTGTGATAGGTAAAATAGATTAATTACATTTAACGGACTTGAGCACTTTCATGTTCCATCCCAGACTGAGAAGCAATTTTTTTTTCAAAATTTGAATAGAAGACAATGTCCTAAACGCCAGAATAAAATGGTCACTGGAATAAAAATACACCAAACTGAATGAGGTAATTGTGCAAAATCTCTAGAATAGCTGTGTATAATTCTAAGGGGTCTTTGACAAGTATTTTTCCAGCATCTGATAGAATCTATTATAGCAACAGATAATAAATTAAAATATAAAAGATATATCCACATTAACAGAGCATAACCATGATTCAAAGGAAAAAAAAATGTTAAAATAATTCTGCATTATAATTCCATGGTTAAAGAGATATTAGTCCTAAGGTGAAAGATATATTATACACTGACACGAAAATTTTACTTCTGAAAAGTGCATGTAAAATACTGCCATGTAAAGTATTAGATGAATTACCAATTACACATCTACTTCAACTGAAAAATATTTTCCTTTAAAACATGTCAAGCAGCATATACTTTTAACGTGATATAAAAGTAATACCGGTCAAACCACTGAGTTTAAGGATAATATCTATAAATTACTAAACACTACTTTTTTAAGGAAAAGAGATACAATAAGGCTTTTTACAGGTAAACAGACTTTAAAAATAAAAATACATTTAGGCATACATTTTAATACACTAATGCTTACATAGTGGATACACTTCCTGATCTACAGTATGAACATACTGTAATGCTATTTTTTTGTTTTTCAATAGGAGAAAAATTCTGTAGGTCAACATGTTCTCACTTATTTTCCTTCCTAACCATGTTCCTGAAAGTGAAGGCTTTCCCATTACACTCTCTCAAATACAGTATGTCTAAAAGTCTGAAAACTACTATACCCCACCATTCTTACATTATACCTTATTTGGAGCCACTCATAGTTTCAAGAATTAAGTAATATTAAAAAAAAAAAAAAAAAAAGGTTTTGGTTACCACGCACAGAAAGACAATCCAAATCATAAGTAAAGATCATTCAAAATATTTATGCAATGCAATATTAGGTTCTTGCAAGTGTCAGCTTGGTCCATCAAGTGTAATATGGGGCATACACATTTGAAAGTAAGACAACATGAGCATCTTAAAACGATACTTACAAAGTTTAGGTTATCATTTATTTATTATTTATTTTAGCAACCATATAAACAGTATCTCTACCTCTGAAGTAAAACACAACTGAAACATTTTGCTTTAGAGCAACATTTTTTTCTGTGAGTTTGCAGGCAAATAGATAAGTACCAAATAGTCTAATAGTGTACCCCTAGATTATTTCTCAGTATTTTTAAATAAATTAATGTTAAATTGCCAATTTTTATATTGTATAAAAAATATTGCACAATGTAACTGAGTAATGTGTGTGACTTTTTTTTCCACGTGTTATTTTGCGCCATACACCACAAACTACATTTTAAAGATCAGAATTGGAACCGTAAGGAAGGCCATTGAATCAGTATGCGTCATGGTCAAATGACAGCATCATAGTCAAAACTCACTTAGCATTTTTATAAGCCAATCTTTCTAAGAATATGAGTCTTGGGTTACTGCAGAAATTTTCTGTTAAAGGTTTTCTTCTCAAATACATTGTATGAAGGAATACTTTTTTATTTTTTAAACTTTTTTTTTTAAGTGGCAACAAAATACATTACACTGAAAATACACACATCTCTGGGGTCTACAAACAAAGAAAAACATCGGACAGACTACAAAATCTAAATAAATACAAAAATCATGACTGATTTCTGATAATTTGTTTCAAGATTTTGTATTCTTAGATAACTATTAAAAAACAAAAATAACACAACAACTAAACATGTAATTTCCAGTGTGCTACTTGTGCTTAGTTACCATTTTCCTTTACAGGTGATATTTGATAACATTTGCAAAACTCCAGTTAGAATAACAGACTGCATTGGACTGTAAATAAAGTTGACAACAAAAAATGAAATACCTTATTTTTAGTGCCTAGTATGATACTGTCATACATTTAGAAGAGCACAATATGCAGCAGCAATTTAATTTGTAAACCACAGTACTAACAAATGAACACCCATGTTATAGCATATAGTAAGCTATAGGACTTATCACTAGAATTTATGTCAAACTGACATAAATAAGGAAGTGGTTTAAGAAATCATTTTATATATTGCCAGGTTTTGCTTCTCCATTCCAGTTTTTACAAATTAAATGTAACAGGCTCCCAAGTAACTGTGTATGCTACTACAAAATGCCTTACTTCTGAGTCTTCCATGGTCAGGACTGTGACCGTCCCTATTGGTCCCTGCCTATGAGAAGGTTACATACGGAGTTTAATTTACACTATTTAAATATGTTACTAAAGATCTAAAAATGTCTCTAGACAGCTGAAGACACATTTTTTGTCCAAGCCTGATTTCCATATTCTGGAAATCTATGAATCAGTTGTGTCCTCATAAATGCAATGACTGAACACAAATGTACATCTTTCTATTAGCCTTCAATCTGTGGAGCTGCTGTGTAGTTTTCCAGCTACTTTTACTACAGATCTGGGCATATACAGACTGTTTGTTCAGAAACATGTTTTCAGTAGCTCACTGTGTTTTAATGGGTCATGATATCAGGCAACTGATTCTCCATCTAACACTGACAGCACATCCTTGGGATCAGACACGTGATATGAAGCCCAGCCCCAAGCTGGCTGGGATCTGGATGGTTTCTAACGCCAGAGAGGATGGATTAAATGGAAAAGTAACAGGAAAGATGTGTTTAGCATCCATGAGCAATTGAGGAGAGTCCTTCCTGTCTCGAAGACGCAGCTGCAAAGAAAAGAAAGTGATTACATTAGCATTTAACCACTTCATTGACAATAATTATCTTGTGATAAGGTAGTACTGCACCTGTGTTTACAGATACGTGCGTGTGGTAACTTGACCTGGAACGTTGCTAACAATTGCACCATTAAACTGCGGTTACTTTTGGCATTTTTAATTTGGCGTATTTGCCCCTTATAATGTAATCTGAAAATATTTAGAGTCCTTGCAAAAGGAAGAAGTTAAGCACTATCTGGCGACCAGTAAGTAGAATTACAGTTTTATCTCAGTTCTACCTTGCCGGTCTCCCTTAGCCTGCTAACAATGTACCCAGATTTCAAACAAACCAGAAAGATCATCTTTGTTTCTTTCCTTTTGTTCTAATTGTTGATTTTCTTTGGAATATTCAGAATATATAATTTTTATTAAAATATATTAAATTAAAAGAGATAAACGAAGAACTTTGGAATGCTTATAGGCCTCAGCTTTCAAAGCAGTTGGAAACTCTCACGCAGACATAGGTCTGAAAGAAGTAATTTAGAAATTTAGAAGCATTTAGAAAGCAAGAAAGAAGCATTCAGAAACGTTACCAATTGAAAAGTGGGCATCAAAACATGTTTAGAATCACTGAATATCCTGAGTTGGAAGGAACCCACAAGGATCATCGAGTCCAACTCCTGGCTCCACAAGGGACCACCCAAAACCCTGACCGTCTGTCAGAGCATTGTCCAAATGCTTCTTGAACTCTGGCAGGCTCAGTGCCATGACCACTGCCCTGGGGAGTCTGTTCCAGTGCCCGACCACCCTCCTGGTGCAGAACCTTTTCCTGACACCCAGCCTGACCCTCCCCTGTCCCAGCTCCATGCCGTTCCCTCGGGTCCTGTCGCTGTCCCCAGAGAGCAGAGCTCAGCACCTGCCCCTCCGCTCCCCTCGTGAGGGAGCTGCAGGCCGCCATGAGGCCTCCCCTCAGTCTCCTCTGTTCTTGGCTCAACAAACCAAGGGACCTCAGCCACCCCTCATATATCTTCCCCTCTAGACCCTTCAAAATCTTCATAGCCCTCCTTTGGAGGCTCTCTACTAGTTGTACGTCCTTCTTATATTGTGGCACCCAGAACTGCACACAATACTCAAGGTGAGGCCTCACCAGCACAGAGCAGAATGGGACAATTCCTTTCCTTGACCAATGCTGTGCCTGATGCACCCCAGGGTACATTTGGCCCTCTCTGCTGCCAGGGCACACTGCTGGCTCATGTTAACTTGAATCCCCATATCCCCTTCTGCGGGGCTGCTCTCCAGCCTCTTGTCCCCTAGTTTGTTCATACAGCCAGGATTGCCCCCTCCCAGGGACAGAATGTGGTGCAGTTTACATATAAAAAAAAAAAAACCTCTCACCCTTCTGGAGAAGTCGTACATACTGAGAGAAACTAACATTTTGTTCCAAGTCTGGAGGTAGTAAATTGTGATTGCTTAAGATTTTCAGGCTGACATCACCTTTTCAGCACAGAAAAAATATGTCTAAAAAGCCTAATTTACTTCAGATTCCTCAGTGTGTTTCGGGATACAGCCTGTTTTGGCTCATTGAAGGGTTTATTACAGATAGTTACATGATTTTTAATAAAAAGATATAGCCATACCTGTATTGTACGGATAAATGATACCAAGACTCTCTCTTCAAATTCATTAACTGGAGTATACAAATTCAGTACTTTTACAATCTGTAAAGAACAACAATTCTTAGTTTCATTCTACTAATAAATCTGTGGGTTACAAATATATGGTTACTAGTATATATTTTTTAATTATCTATTCTAAAAGGAATATTCTTTTCAAGCTTGTTTTTATTTCTTTATTGTTTCACACAGAATTTCATTATCTGCTTAATGCTATGTTAAAAGCCTGCCTCCTTCAGAACATATTCTCTGGAGGTGGAAACCCTAAGTTTTACATTTGTGTGGAAAACACCCAACTATGGAAAAATCAGATTATAAATAGCTAATGGCGTTCCTACATACCCTGGAAATGTTGCATTTCTCTCCCTAGTTTTGACTCTCTAATTATGACCTTCTGGAGCTTTCATTCAAGAGAATCTTATGACTTCAGTGTTTTTCAAGAGTGAGCTATTTCCCTAAAAGCAGGACTATAGCCTCTAGAAGAAAGAACTGCAAAAACAAAGACTTTAAATAATATGGGTTAAACGTCTAAAACTTAAAAAAAAACCTTTGTTTTGTTGTTGTTTTTTACATTATTCTACTTAAACAAAATATTTTTCAACAAAAGTAAGACAACTGAAGCAAGTGGAATTCTAAGTTCTTCCATTACAGAACTAAATTAGTGGATTATTAAATCAAAACTGCTGTATCAATGTAAAAGTGCTGACACCAGTGCAAAAGAAATGGAGAAATTTGTTCCTTTTCCTAATGCAAATGTTCATCCAAAGACGCTTGGATCCAGTTGTTTTGTAAAAACTCTATGCAAGTGTAGCACAGTTTAAAAAAAAAAAGTGCATCTTGTCTTTACAAAAACATGAGCTTTCATAAATAGAATTCTTCAGCTGTGCTGGTTACTGATATACACTTGGTTCAGCCTTTCTGAGGCTAATGGGTACAGAAACTTAATTTTGTTTGCAGACCCTGAGACAACAGCTCTGTCTGAATTGTCCATTAACTTAACTGGATGCTAACTCATATGGTAGAAGGATAATTTCCTAGTATCCTAGGCAAAGTTGCCTGGTGTACAGAGATGTCAGTGCAAAGTTTTCTCTGAGGATTTTTGCAGACTAAGAGACTACGTGTAAGTACAAACTGCACAGTGTATTGAGTTTCTTCTCATTTAGTCACAACTTATCATGAACATCAGACCTCAAAAAAAAGATCTGGTCCTTTTTTCTTCCAATTTAATCTCTTTAGTTGTACTAATTCAAAACAAAGTCAAAGAAGTTTGATACATGTGTGACAGCAATGCAGGCAACCCTAACAATGAGAGTTTGGTTACCTGGGCAGTAGTCAATGCGTTGCACATTGAACAAATGGCTTCTGCATCTTCATCTGTTTTCTTTTTTACTTGCAACAACTGTGCAGCCTGAATGAGGGGCTCCAGTGTTTCTTTAGCCCCACTGTTCATCAAATTTTTATCACGTAGCCATTCTTCAAGTTGACTCACATTGTATCTGTACAAAGAGTTAAGAATACCAAGACATTAATGCTTAATTACTGCTAAATTGAAAGCATGTGCAATTTCTCTTTCACAGTGTTTGCTCTTTGTCTTTATATGCTTTTTCTTCACATCACTGATTTCCCATGATTTTGTCTTCACACTATTTCCCTTTGATTTAGGCAGGAAATTTTGAGTTTCAAAACCGTTATAAACAGTGGCCAAAGACTTTCACTTCCTCCTTTCCCTCGTTTTGTTCCTATTAATCACAGAAATGTGACAAGTAAAGGCAAATGAAATTTTGTCAGAAATGTACAGTGATGCTTTTTGTGGTTCCCTGAGTGAGTGGAATGCCTTCGCTAAATTTCCTGGCACACACCAGTAGAATGCATTGGGCAACTGATACCAAATGTAGGAATAGTCTAAGATGGCTTTACAACAGGAAGCAGCAAATTACAGCACAGATGAACACAACAGGTATCCACTGAGCCACCAACATACAAAGAATGCAGCAGGCACAGTTGTCATTACTGTCTAAAAACTTACAAAGCAAGTATCAACATTTCAGCTTCAGTTCTGATTCCCACTGCACAACAAAATACTTTTGTTTTGCTTCTCCAATGTTTCCTTGAAAGCTAGGTAGGGTTTAGCCTACATCAGCCAAGCTCATTTTAACTGAGCCCCTTAAAATCAGTTTAACAGCATCCATAACTGTTTGCATGTGAAAAAAAATACTCGAAGCATATCTGCTATTCCCTCAAAACATATTCAGCAGTGTCAAGAACGCACAAAGATTTTCAGCACTACGTTCACAAACAGTATGACAGCAGCTCTCCCACCTTATCTGCATTCCTTTGCTCCATGAGCACATGTCCTTGCGCAGAAGAAGATTGTTAAGTGTTACAGCCCCAATGATGTAGAACATCTGCTTGACAACCTGTTTGATGAGTTCTGGATCCATTCCATGCTGACACATCACAGAATGGAAAGAATTCAGCTGCCGAATAATGGAGTCCAAAGTGTAGGTTCCTTCATCAGCAATGCTGGATGTTCTCTTCCGCAGCCCTGTTGGTTTCACCCCTGAGACACCTTGGATAGTCTCATGCTCCAGCATTCCTGAAACTGCATTTGATTGACAGTGTTAAGATAACAAATGCAAATTACTTACGTGCAAGCATGCTGTGCAAAACAGCAAAACTTAGTATTTAGACAGAAAGAGCATGCTGGGCTTTCTGCCTACAACACTGTCATGATTTCAAGCAATTTTCTTAGTGTCCTACTATGTTTTGCAAAATCTAAGCTTGCAGCGTTTTACAAGGATTCCAGCATGTGTTTGAATGGAAGGTCTAACTGTAGCTCAACAAAATGCTTTTTTCCTCCATGTGGTCATATAAGCAGCAGTGTCAGCAAACCAAGAGATGTTCCATTCTTCTAAATGGTATGATCAGAAACCATAATGAAAATTTGTGAGAGAACTGTCTGACAGGAAAAATTAAATGTACTTTTAATAAATGCAAGCTTATTTGAATGCAAGCTTCACCACTGCTAGCTCTGTCATTGCTAATAGTTGTCTATCATGACAGACAGCCTTTTTTTCCTCTGTATTCGAGTTCTCATGTAATTTAAAGTCCGATTTTTCCAAAGGATATTTCCCAATACACAAATGTCAGACAGTCCTAGTAGTGGTTTCTTCTTGTAAATACATGATTTATGACAAGCATCAATAATATAAATTAATTTTTTGTTAGTGCCAGAAGAACCAGACAGTTTAGTTTTTCCTCTAATCCAAGCTATTCAGTGTAGTCCTTGTCATCTATAAACAGAATACCACAAGAACTATTAATAAAACTGTACCATTTATGAAGAAATATCAGATAAAGCGTATTACTACCATCACAATTGTCTTTTTGGTACTACTGTGTGAAGTTTAAAGAATTCAGCTTTGCCTTACCAATCATTGGTTGCAGAATGTTTTCCAACACTCTGACAAGTTGTTGGTAGATCTGAATAGCCAAGTCACTCAGTACTTGTCTATATTCAGCTAAGTCAAAATTAGTGAGGCAGTGCTCATTCTGACGAGGTGTATTATGCTTCATAAACCCCTGAATTAATAAAATAACAGAAATACATGCCTCAATAGAATAATAAAAAATCACACAAAAACAGTATTTATATATGTTCATGCAACTGACAAATAACACTTTCAAAATAATAGTTGCAGCCCCTAAAAACTCTAATTTGGAAGTTCCCATTGCATCTAATACTAGGATTTGATTTCCAGTTCTGACTTATGCAATGTCTGCTTCCTTGATGTGAAACTTTGAGTATCTGACAGAGGAACAAACTCCGCCAGCCTTCTGGCTGGTAAAACTCTTCCCTCCCACTCCAACAGGGGCATTCTCACCTGGCCATTTATAGTCAAAATTCCATTTAGGTTTGAAGAAGGAATATGACATATCATAGCTGCCAAACTTAAAATAGCCTGCCACACCATGGTTAAAGAGATTAATATAGCCTTTTTATAGGAATTTTAGTGAATCATTACCAAACATCATAATGACGGCAAATAGATTCTTCTACTTAATCTGGGTTAGCACCTTCAAGGGTACAATGCCATCTAACCTGTAGCGCCCTAGCCTGCAATAAAGTGAAACTGGATCGAATTTTATCTCCTAGTGCTTTCCAATTACATCATAACCATCATTCCAGAAATTGTAGCTGTTTTAAGAAGCTTTGACTAAATGTTGAGATATTTCAGGATTTTGTCAAAGTGTAGCGCTCACAACAGTACTGTAGAGCACAAGAAAAGAGAGTAGGAGCACTGCTTACCTCTTCTCCACTATATTGTTTTAAACAGTGCAAAAATCGGCAGGTGTTGGATAGCCAGAATGACACCGTTTCGAAGTCATCACCTCTTTTCTGAAGATAAAAACAAACACATTTCAGCAAAGACTAATAAGGGGAGTAAAATAATACAATATTAGACAAACACTTAAAATCCATTTTCTTGTAGCTACTCAGATTCTGATGTTTTGTAAAACTGTATTTCAGTGACATGTTAGAAAAGCAGGATTTTGACAAAGTACTATTTAAACACCCTGTTTTTACAAAACCATTCTTAACTGCTCTGTGTAGTAGTTGCGTGCTGTAGTGTGTGTAGCTGTGTGCTGAACAGGTGAACGGTGAGGTGGATTGAGAGCTGTCTGAATGGCACGTCTCAGGGCATTGCAATCAGTGGCAGAGTCCAGCTGGAGGCATGTAGCTGGTGGTGTCCCCCAGGGGTTAATACTGTGTCCAGTATTGTTTAACGTTTTCATCAATAATTTGGATGAAGGGATAGCGTTCCTCCTCAGCAAGTCTTGTGATGATACAAAACTGGGAGGAGTGGTTTACAACCCCATAGTGCTGTGCTGCCATTCAGAAGCATCTTGACAGGCTGGAGAAATGGGCACAGAGGAACCCCTTGAAATTCAACAAAGGCAAATGATGTTCTGTCTGAACATGAGGAAAAACTTCTTTACTGTGAAGGTGATTAAACACTCTGAACAGGTTGTCCAGAGTTGCTCCAGCACTCTCCTCCCTGGTGATAGTCAAAAGCTGTCTGCACAGGATCTGGGTAACTTGATCTACGGGACCCTGCTTGATCAGGGAAGTTGGACTAGATGATCACCAGAGGTCCCTTCCAACCTCAGCCATTCTGTGATTCTGTATTCCCAAAAAAACCTTTCTGCATCACAATGACTTGTGAGAATTCCCAACACAAAGGATGGGAATGATGCATGGCCAGCAGGAGGAGCTGAGAATAATTCAGTTTTGATCAATGTCACTTACATCATGACCATGTTGGGAGCCTGATGTGGAAAACAGAACAAAACGACAAATCCTCCTCACAGTAAAACATAGAGTCTTGTACAATCTGTCTGAGTAATAAAAATTTCAGACCTCTATAGCATGCACTTCATTCTCTTATGTTTGTTCAGAAATTTCTATTGAATATCTAAGCTCCCGTTGGACTATTTACTGAACGTTTTTTTCAAAACATGTAGCTTGTTTTTTTGAGCACATCTGTTTTATTTAAAAACTAAAAAGTCTCTACAGAGCATAAAGCATCTTTATCTCTTATTATTGCCTTCACCATACCCCATGGCCTACACTCTTCTATCCAACTCATTGCAAAGACTTCAGGCAGTAGCATTATCATCAACAAAATCTGCAGATGAAGCAAATGAGGAAATCTGTGAACCAATACTGCAAATGAAGCATTTTGATTAAGTGCTCTGGAAAAGACTTACAAAGACTCACTATGCAAGTGACTGCATCCAAAGCTTTAAAGGCAGAGCTTCAAGGGGGACGACTATTCAAAACAATAATAAACTAGTCTTTTTTTCATTGATTCAAAGCATCTGTGGTACTACGTGAAGAAAATGTTATCACTGCAATTTGTTGCTTGCTAACACAACTTTTTGTAACTTCAGTGGGAAGAGTTTACTGATTAGAAATCCAGAACCAATGCACTGGAAGTCCCTTCCTCACTCCTCTAACATAAAATCAAAAGGAAATTCTCAACATTCTCCCAACCCAAGCAGACTAACCTTCAACACTTTTTTGATGCCATTGATAGTGGAAGTCAACAAGGACCGCACTTTTTGGTCATCATTAAGGTAATCTGCATGGCGTACACACATGAACAAAATATATGCAGGTAGTCCTGGAATCAGGTTGACAGCTACCCCACGTGGTTTCAGCTCTTGGGAAGAACAAACACACATTATTTTGTCATCCATAAATTCACTGGAAACTGTTATACACTGTAATTGCAACTTCCCCAGATAATTGTACATATGTATCTACATATGGCCAGTGAAAAACTAACAACAAACTAAGAAGAATATATGAGCCACTTCCTTGACAAAATATCAGAACAGAATGTAAATGACTGCTAAAAATATGTGGACACAATAACACATACTATGTTAATCAGGAAGGAAGATTAGGTTACAACAGACATTTAGAAATTTTAGATTGAAATCTGTTGAAACCAAAATAACGCTGTGCATCTTATGTTCACTTTGTTTTTCCGAGTATGTGTGAGCATGGCAGGCTTCAAATGGGAAAGATGCTTACCTAAAATAAGATTCTTGACCAGTTTTTGTTCATCTTCCTTCTTATATTCTAACATCCCCTGGAAGTCCTTTTCCTTCCGTGGAATGTTGACTGGACGAATAGGTTCGTCAATGATTTGTCCAGGTGATATGTTCTCCATCTGCCCCACTTCAGAAGGAAAATGAAAAGAAACAATATAATGTTTTCTAGTGAAACTAATGCATGTCAAAACAAAGTTTAACATTTCTAATGAAGAATTCCATCATATAAAACTAATCCATGTTTTTCTTTGGTTCAGGGTAACACCTAGCAACAAAACTCCTATTAAACAAGAAGACTGATTCCTGACAAATGTGTAGTTGGGTAGCATTCTTCCTTTGAAGAAGAGTGGAAGTGTATGAATGACATCCATTAATACACTAATGGCTGATACCCTGGATTTTATCATGTAAAAGCATGATTTTATATTAGTTGATCAAAATCAGTTGATTCCAGATTAACACTGCAAGGGTCACTGTTAATTTTTCTGCAAAATGTCAGCATTTTTTAAGCCCAATCTTTGTTACCTATTGTGATAGGTTTACCTTGACCAGCAACCAAGCATTCATACAACAATGCTACACACACTCCAGCAGGCTGGTAAAGAATATGAAAGAGCAAAAGCGAGAAAATTTGTGGATCAAGGTAAGGACTGTTAGGTGAAAGAAAGAATTTTGGTTTTGAAAAGCAGAACTTGATTTCATCCCATGAAAGCTACATCCTCTTCTCACAACCCTCCTAGCTGAATCTCTGCAAACTGTTGTGCATCCTGTAAATCCACTAAATGTATACACCTGTAAAATGGGATACAGAACGTAGAAATCCAAACTGGAGCTACCAGTAACCAAAGACTAATATACAGTCGTTTATTCAAGTTTAACTTGATATCACTGACTGCCCTGTTCTTTTCAAACAGTGGAGTGCAGAAGACTACAAAGTCACAAATTTCCATCTCAATACACAACAAAACACTTAATTAGCCAATGAGTTAGTTTCTAGAGAGTGATGACCATAAAAAGCTTCTGTAAGGTTAGGATCGGAGTTATTTGAAAACAAATTAATATTTTAACTTTTTAACATTATTAACCCCTTTTAACTATTACAATGATTTTACTTATGCAGAGACATAATAAGTTCTCAGTCTCAGCAGTCCTGAGATCCTAAGGCAACTCTCTTTGAAGTTCATAAAAATAAAATTATCTTAGTGCATATCTTAGCATTCTGATATTCAAGTCTGGCCAGCTTCTGAAAAAGGAAACCTCAAGTGGAAAAAAGCAACCTCAGCATTCTTGGCTCCAGTGATAGAAAAACTCACAAAGAAAAACTGTGTAAATTATTTCTATCTGGTTCATACTTAATATTGCTTTAATCTTGACAAAAACAGATACTGTCTTTGAGTACACAAATACACCAGGTAACACTCCTTTATGTTCAAATGGTTTCTGCCTTCAGAGAAGCATCAGCCTCCTCTTACTCATTGCTTTCAAATTATGACAAATCTTCTACAGCTTTATAAAGGAACACAGAGAGCTCTGAGTGGATCTCCTGTTTTTGTAATCGATTAATACAGGCTAATGCTGCTAAAGAGTTCATATCTTTCTGCCCAGTAAGACAGATGGATATAATGACTGACTGGATCACAGAAAAAAATATATATTTTTCACTTTCTCTCAAAATATAAAAATACCTTCAAGTTCACCGATCTTCTTAGCAAATACTTTCAACTGTTTCTTTAACTTTCGAACAGTTTTGTCTTGCTTTTCAAGTTGTTCCATTAAATCCTGTAAATTAGAATGAGAGAAAGATTAAGATAGGAGAAAATGTCATAACGTGACAGAGACAAATCAGTTAGAATTTACAAGGTGGTAGGAAAGCTGAACAGTGGTGCCATCCTCTGGCTGAGGTTTGCAAGCTGGTACACTACAAGACAAATTTTGCAAATATTATTAAGTTATCTGCAGCATGACAACGGCAAAGCTTTTAGGTTTACTCTGCAGACACTCAAAACTAGGTCAGTTCTTATGGAAGGAGACAAATGTCTGTGCTGCAAACACATCTCCCTAATGCTTCCTCCCTCCCTGCTCTTCCAAATGCCTCACTGAGATAATTTTCTTTATTATTAAATAGCTATCCTGTACTTCTGCATCATTTATTCATACCTACAGGACTGACTTGTTATTAAGACCTATCCATTTTATAACAATATGCAAGAGACATCTGCAGAAAAAAAACATACCTTGCATTCAAAAGTACCAAAATCATCAAACATCAAAATATACACATTTCTAATAATGTTCTGCCATCTCCCTATCACTTACTGTCATCACATTTCCTTAAACTGGAACTGGAGTCCTACAGGAAGCTTCTTTATATTCTGTACTTGAACAACACCAACCACCTAAAAGTCCTATTGTTTCAATAAAGCAGTATTTTTCCTTCCAGGAACACTCCCCAGCAATCCTTCTTTGAATGTTTGTGTGACCTATGCTAGTGCATTCACAAATAACCACGTAATTAAAAAAAAAAAAAAAGTCTTTATAAAGGAACCAAAACCCCAAGCTCAAAAAATCAGAAACTCATTGCAGAATAAGGGTTTGAAAGTAGCTTTAAGAAAACACTCTTTTGTAAGCACTTGCTTGCACTGTTAAGAAAATAAGGAACCATGAGCTCCTTGCATCAAAAGCATCATGACAGAAACTATGCTTTTTCTAAAAGTATTGAAAAATATTAATGCAACAGTGGCAACAACTTAGAATTAGGCACAAAACTGCTCTCTGTCATGTAGTAGAGTTTATAATCTAATCTAATACACTAAGCAGTAGAAGCAGTAAGATAATAGGCCTGTTGAAAGAAGATTCAAGGCCATGCTTCGTATTCAATGCAGTGGTAAATTTTACAACAGAAATCCTGCTAGTAACACAAATATAGTCAGATATAACAATTTCCAATTAATTAAAAAATACACACAATTGTAACAGACTTTCGAAAATGTGTGTGAAGGGATGTGATTCCTGAACAACAAACATGTGAGGAGAAATGCAGTTCTTTCTCTGGTTCCTCTAAACAAATTAAACATTTCAGATCTGGAATCTCATAAATGATACTCTTTCAAGTTTAGGTATTGTGCTCTATCTACTCATTATCGTTAATTATTATGGAGATCAATTCTTTTTATTATTTCCCCTTTTATCCTTAAGATTTTTCATTTTTGAAAAATACTAATTATAAACGTCCTGATTAAACAGTTTAGCATTTTGATTCTGATAGATTTGTTTGCATCAGATGTCAGCACTGTAAGGAGATCCATGAAGAAATTCAAGCTAAGATTTTGCTATTCACATCTGCAGGCAGCATTCATCTCTGCATGATCAGGCCTCTATTTTGCTGAGCTGATTTTAAATGTATCAAAGTTTTAAAGCGAACAGTGGACCTTAAAATTGAGCATCTTTTGCATCACATACTTCTTTTTCAGGGCATAAAGGCAGTATTAAATAGTGTTCAAAAAAGAAACTGCTTTGCTGACAATGCAAGACATATTAGTAACAAAACTATGCATCAAAAAGATGCAGACACAGATTACAGAGAAGACACTAAGACTAACAAAAAAAGCAGTGAGAGATGTAATTGGCATTGTGAAGCTCTCTGCAGGGAATCTCCTTTGAAAGGCAAGAAGGGAGGCAGCCTGCTTGTCAATTAGTGGGGTCCAGAAATAGCGAACGAGACAACAGAGAAACAGGGTTCACGTGATCTACATACAATCATCCGTTTGTAAAGTGAAATCCGGTACGATTGATACTTCTTGGGATCATCTGCATACAATTCCTCATAAAACTGTAAAATAGGCAGAGGATTGTTTTTCTCCCTCCTTTTGAGACGCTAATACTTCAGTAAGCACTATATAAATAAATGAAATGAGATTTAAACATGTTCAAGGATCTCTAATTTTTAGGTAGTTGAGTTCTTAGGTGTGGTGCTGACTCCAGCCTCTCCCAGATAGAAGTTAATGTAGATGAGTTGCAGAACAGTCAGATCTTTTAAAAATGGCCTGTAATAATACCATGAAAATCTGGAATGTAACCTTTGCCAGAAGCTGAAAAGGACAGTTTCTTCTGGTAATAAAGATGGGACTGCAGTAAATACTGCAATTCTAATATCACATCTGGAAAACCTGTAAATAAATTAAAAAAAACCAAAACACAGCTTCCTTCTTTAGGGCTAGGAGAGGAAAAGAAGTATATTCCCAACTTGGAACCTTGCAATACTCAAATATCTGAAGTGAAATACTGATGAATGAGTCTACATTTAACAGGTAAAATTACATTCACTGTATTTGAAAAGAAGGAGAACTCCCCTGAGATGTAATTACATGTCTTTTATCTTGGGAACTCAGAATGTGATGAGTAGTTCTCTTGGTGGAAAAGAAGGTTAAAACTCATAATACATGACTAAGCAGCAGGAGGGAGCTGTCCAAGATAGAAACAATCACCATTTACCTTTTCCAGTGAGAGACAATGTTACAATATATTTTCAACCAATTTTCCAAGATCTATTAGATGAATTATCTGTTGCTGTCCTCAAAACATTTGGTTCTAAGACAACAGCCCTACAACTAGAACTTTTCTAACATATGTAAGCAGGAAAGACTGCACTGTGGCTTGATTAGAGGAAGAAATTACACTCAGAGCTAGGAATTTTCTCCCTGAAGTAGTGTGGTTCATTCTACTACAAAGAAGAAACTATACAGAGAAATTCCAGGCTAATAAACAGCGATAAGCCAATGATATTTCAACATAGGTCTCTTTGGAAAATTTCCCCAGAAGTGAACTAGGCTGTACATGATGAACATATGCCTTCACCTGGAAAGGAGTTTCACCTGACCTTTCTTTCATGTGAAAATATTGTGCAGTCAACAAGGAACACCAATCAGCCAAGTGACTTCTAACCAAGTTTCTTTTTCTGGAACTGTTTGTTTCTATAAAACATATTGAATAGCTGGAGCTTATAACACAGTGCATAATCTGTGTAGCTTCAGGCAGGGAGGGAAATGGGAAGACAAGGTACATTGAAGAATTAAAAAACTGTATTTGTGTTTTTCAACAAAATAAACTAATGTACTTCAGACTAAACACCACTGCTTGCCAATATTTTTTTTATGAGTTCCATGGATATCAATCATTCTATTTAGGGATGATTAAACTCATCAGTTGAAAGCACTTCTGTTATGCTGGGATCCATGAGCTTTTTCCACACCACAAGCTAACAAATTCCCCAAAATAATATGAGTTCATCAGCAGTCATTAGTCTCTCTCCCCCATTAGCTTACCTAAAAAAAACAAACAAACAAACAAAAAAAAACCTGCAACTCAAGCAATTTTTTTTTTACGGAAGGCTGCCATCTGAAAATTGATGAGAATTTACAGGCACAGATAAGTCTGCGAGTCCCCATGCCTGCTCCGGCAGCATCATTGCTCTTACCAAGTTTTCGTTTGTCAGCCGAGTGATCTCATGCTGCAGGCTGGCTTCAATCCGGGCCTCTGGGGGCAGCTGCAGATTCTGTGCCAAGAGCTGCTGCTGGCGATTGTTTTCTTCTTTCAGACTTTGGATCTCTCCTCGCAGTGATTCCAGTTCATTCTCGTGGCTCTTCTTCTGCGACTGAAGCTGAGACTCCAGCAGCCTAAGGAAGTTGAGCAACAATTGTAAGTACACACTCAGAAAGTCACATCCCAAATTCTCAGAGGGAGTCTAAAGCTTTAGCTGCTGCTCAGGAACAATTAGCTATGGCTTGCAAAGGAAAATGAAAAAGGCAGAGTACTCTTTAAACCCTTCAATATGCCTTCTAATTAAATTACGTTTGTATGATCAAAAAGTGGAGAGAAACTAATGGTGACAATGCTTTGCATTTCCTTTGTGATTGAACACATACTGCATGTATGGTACCACAGAGAATGTGTGGTAAGAAAAGCATTACTACATCTTCACAGACTGCCTCTGTTTTTAATAAGGTTAGAGAGGTTCTACCTCTAATCAAATCATATAAACTGTGTCAGATGAAGACAGTGTATTCTCTTAAGCTAGGTCCCTGTGATATTAACAAAGGAAAATCTTTCTTTTCCGTCAGAGTTCAGTCAGAAACCATTTGATTACAGTAAAATAATAGTTTTTACTTTTACGCTAAAATAAACATTTTGAAGAGGGTTGTCATTTATACAGGCAGGTTAACGACAGAACCAAACTCAGGACTGAGATACAGGATCTCTACTTTACCCTCGCTACTGACTCACTCTTTCCCCTTGAGCAAATCACGTCTCAAATTCTTCTTATGTGAAATGGGAACAACACGTAAGAACCTTCTTCAAAGCAGCACTGTGTGGATTTAGCTCCTGTTTGCAAGGCACTGTCCAAGTGCTCTGACTCATTATTTCATAAATATACACACACAGGATGTGACACTACTACAGGCTTCTAGTGTTCAATTAGACAATCTTTCAGGGTTTAAATATGCATAAGGCAGGCACATTTATTAGTAACCAGACTGATCAAGCACGCGAAGGCAAGTAGTCATTTACTTGCATTGCTCTGCCATTTACTATAGAGCTTGTTGTCTCTACAGTGCCAGCACAAGAAAGAAGACATACAGAGTGATCACTCTCACGTCACACTCTGCAGAACACTTGCTCTAAGTTAGACCTTCACAGACTGACACAACAGTGTTAGGTTCAGAATTTGTAAGCACAAGGAAAGGAAAGACTCCAGTTAGTAGCATTCATTGCAAAATAGCTCCTTTTGTAGTTACTGCTACCAAATGTGTATATTTAAGAAAATCAGCACTGCAAATCTTTTGAATTAGGTGCCAGCACACAACTACGGACCACTCTAGAAGTCTGGGACACATTTAGGAACAGGGAGCCCAGGCATGCACACGGCCAGAACTGAACTCCCTAACCAGGTGAATTGCACCAGTGACCTGATCACCATGTGGCCTTTGCAGCAACTGCAGTGATTGTACTGAGGTCTGAACAGCACCAGGATGAACTAGAGATAACTTCTCTCTTTGTTGGCTTTCATGTGTTACATTTTGAATCTTGCACAGAGAGATGTGGGAGAAGAACATTAAATTTGCTGAATTTGAGTTGGGGTAAGGGGAGTAAGATACAAATATTTGGAAGTAAAGAGTATGCGGAAGCTTTTCCACCAGTAGCTTTAAAATTACGGAAAAAATTGCACTACTTTAGGCTGACAAACTGTACAGGACATTGATTTTGATATCCAACATAAAGGCAGACAAATAATACACAGTTAAAAATCTCTTCCAGTTGTGGATCTTCTGGTATTTTATAGTCCGTTTTTGTGCAAGTATTCTTATGAATTACCTATTAGTTGTTGCCACCGTCTTAACTTCTTAAGGAATGTAACTTGAAAAGTAGACAAAGTTGGGGACTAAGTTTGAGAAAACTCCAATTTGCACAATGTATGATGACTTCCTTCCAATGAATATTTTTTTTTCTAAGCATAAGAAATGCTGTAGCTAAAGCAAGGGGCACAGTTAGCTAGAAAAGAAGATGCAAATGAAGAACAAACATTCTGAGAAGTCTGGTAACCTGTTGGCTTGTTTTAACCCTTCATAAACCAGCCAAAGTTCTCCGTCCTCATTCAGCATATGATAGTCCTGGGGAGATTGCCTTCCAAGAAAAGTGTTTAAAAAATACAAGAGAGATACATGATGGTGATGAAATGACATGTTAAGGACATTACACTCTAAATTACACTTACTAGAAACGAGAAAGAAAAAATGTTCTAAAACAAATTAGCAAAATACTTCTCTTGGTTATAGGTATTTCTTCTAAGTGACGAAATTCAGTTCTTGGTGTTAGCCAAACTGGTTATAGCATTTCATGCTGTTATGATATATGTATTATGACAGTCTGCTGTGACAACTACTGGACAAAAGGTAAAAAAAAAACAGCATGGTGAATGGCATCCAGTTTGAACTACATAGCCAATTAAATGCTAAGAAAATGCATATCCAGGAAGCTTGATTTTGCACGTCCCCATTATTTCTTAAGCATTTCAAGTACTGCATACAGCAGTTTTACTAAACAAATCAAATTATAAGCACAACTACAAGTGTTCTCTAAGAATCTAGACTTAGGTGAATGCAGCTTACTGAACATGATACACTAAGTGTGCCAAAGTACATCCCCAAATGATTGTAAATTAAATAAAGAGAACTTGTACCTGTTTGTTTCCTTCAATCCAATATATGCCTGTGCTATTTCTCCTTTGTCTTTCATCTTCTGTACATCTTCCAAGAGGATAGTAGAATCTGTCATAGTATTCTGGAAGAAGAATGATGATGATTTCCAGGGTAAATTTAACAATGTAATGGTTCTTTGAATCCATATTTTTGTTACTTTACTCATGGGGAACCTTACTCCTTGAGTAGCATCATCATGTGTATTTGGGGAGCAGGAGTTTAATCTATAATTTCAACACCCATTTGGTATATCTTTTAAAATGAATCAAGCAGCATGCTAAAATATCAGTCTATCTAGTAAGCAGTAAGTGTGTTAACCTCTTTTCATTTGTTTGTCATATAAAAGGAACAAACAAATTTCATGAAGGCATGAATTTGCATTTAATTTCATATTACTAGAAACAGCCACTAATGCTGAAATTCAAGAAGCATAATTTCGCAACATGTTATTTTTGAATCTCATAACAAGGTCCTCACTTCAAATATTTTCAGTGCTCTGACAAAGCAGGAAATAATTTTACAAGGCCTGGAGATTTTTTAAGTTAGATATAATCACAATACTATTTTTGTTTCAGTTTTGAATGTTTACCATGGAACTTTTGCTTTTTCCTTCATTAAAATTTGAAATACACAACAAATGTTTACAGTCAACTAGGCCAGTCTAATCTGAGTCATTGCTCTGAATATAATTACAGTGAAACCACAGGACTCCAATGAACGTAAGAGATGCAATTTTGACTTTTCTTTTTGACTTCAAAACGATTAAATGCTATTTTCCTGTGTAAAATTTTAGAAAGTATTCATATTAACAACTTTGTGGACATAAGTTTTGGAGCACAGGTCTCTGCCTACTGCAATTCATGTTATTTAGTATAAAAACTACTAAAACATTTAGTATCCTCAAAGAATTATTCCCAACATCATTATGAGATTTTTGTGATTTTTCTACAATTATTTTAACACACATTAAAACTACTGCATCTCACCTGCCAATTTATCTAGCCTTAGCAAGTTGTGCTTACATGTATTTATTACTTTTGTGCTGATGGAAAGAAATGCTAATTACTCTTACATCCTCAAGAATACCCTACATGCTGTAGTTGTAATACTTAACAGCCCTTACTTAAAGTCAGCTCAGTTCCTCATTTTCCTAAATCCTCATATTCCTAAATGTACTAAATTTTCTAATCAAACATTCAGCAGTTCCTGCCTAGTATCTTCAGATCACAACTTGAGTCCTGAATGTGTGTATCTCACAAACACATTATTTGGATAAAAAGCACTATAAAGTAAGGTTATTCTTCCCGTTCTGGAATGTTTTGGTGAAATTTATAGATTTTGCAACAGAGGTCTGACTCCTAAATCACAGTGCTGCACATACTCTTCAAACAACCTCAGCAAGATACATCGATTGAGCTGATCAGATAGCTTCATGAATCGTTCCTTTCATGTTCAGGTTAACAGAAATCGATGGTTCAATTGTTAAATCTGTTCATTTTGAAGTAACTTATTCCCTTGTGCAGAAGGGGACGGTGGGGACACAGGAAAGGGATAATGAGAAAGATTCTGCAATAATAGCAAAACAAATTACAAGAACAACTCCAAATACATTTAGGTTACTTATGAGAAGCAGGGAAATTACAGTTCAAGTATTTGTGTTTTGTCTGTTTGTTTGTTTTATAGCATTTAATAGTTCTAGTTAATAACTGTAGAAATAAAACAAGTACCTTATCCTCCTGGCAATCAAATTGGAAGGCAAGAAAGAAGAGAAACAAATCATTTAAAAATTCTGTCTGCTGCAACTGTCCAACCTAACAAGCAGAAGGTATCTGCAAACTGGCTTTTAGCCATCCCACCGGTCACCTTCAGATCTCCCAAAACAACACTTGGGTCCCACCATTGTTAAGAATAAATTATTGAAGGGTTTACTATTAAAGGATTAATTTATAATGTTCCCAATATTATAGAAAATTAGTTTTGTTTTCTTCATAATTAAGCATTTAGAACAAGATAAGCACACCTTCATGCATCACAGACTTTCAATCGATTTAGGACATATATAAACATATTTCTGCAGTAACAACGGAAAGAGAGGACGTATCTGTCAATTCCTTGCCGCCATCATGGAACACCAGGTTCATAACTCAGTTCAATAGAAATAACTAGTTAATAATTTACCTGATAACTTTTTAGGCTGAACAACTTATTCTCAAAGCTATTACTTTTCTAAGTATCTCATCATTATTTTTTAAAAGATACACATTTCAGGGGTTATCTACTCTTCTCAATCATATTACACATATCAAGCATAATAATACCGAATTCATAACACCTTCATGGTTACCTTTACACAATTTTATTGTTACTTATGTGTAATCATTTACGATCCTGCTTAGATTTAGCAAAAATTGGTCCTTGCACTTCCTGCTGAGCTATTAATTGAAAAGAATTCCTGCAAACTGAAGTAAATTTTCCAATCAAGCTACATAACTCACTAGAGATACGATGCTGCGCCAAATGAGATTTCTGCATTGTTAAAAGGGTCTGAGGAGATCCTGGTCAGACCGTCAGTATCTGCCAGCCTGGTATGATCTTTACATGACTGCTGGTAGATAACCCAAGGCTGGTTTATTAAGAGAGTCTCCCAGTTTGGACTGCTGCAATTTGAGCACTAATACTGGATCAATGGATTATACTTAGAAAGGCTTTGAAACGTAGATCATTTTTTCTACCTTTTCAAGCATGTTGTTACACTAAATCGAGCATGTCAGTTATGTAGTGTAGCTTTACTACAGAGCACATTTGCTGACTACTATTTACCTTGGGTTGAATCGCCTCTTTCTGGCTGACCAGCTGAGACCTCAGGATGAGGACTTCTTCCTTGCGTACTTCAAGTTCCTCACTTACTGAAGTTAGCTGATCCAGGAGGACTCTATATGCTGGGGCACCAGGAGCAGTTACCTCTGGAGATCGTGTTTCTGTGAGGGCCTTCTGCAGCTCATTCAACTCATTCTTCAGTTTTTTATTCTCAGATTCAAGTTCTTGACGCTGCAATAAACAGGGACAATCCCATCACCCAGCAGCATGGTAAAAATCGAGTAACTGCAACACACCAGTCAATCTCTCCCCTGTCCCCAGCCTCCTGACAACTGTGAATAGCATGCCTGAGAGGATTTCACTGATAGGGCTACCTTTTGTCTCAAGTGCAAAATCAGAACTCATATACATGAATCATACAAATTTGAAGGAAAAACAATTACTATTTTCCCCCTATTCTTCCTTTAACAGCAACAACAAAGTAAAGCTCCCAACAAACAGCGGACAGCAGGCTAAGAAGATTCTGCATCATTCAGTGCTATTAGGAAATACTTTTATTTTTAGTGATCTAAAGTATGCATAAATTTAAATAATGTGTTTGGAATCACATCACTATTTTTGCGCAAATTAACTTGCAAGTTGTGCTAACTATTTCAAAGAGAAATACCCCTGTTTTAGGGTGATCTTTTTGTTCTGCAGCCCCAGCCACACATCCTATACCTCAAAACAATAAAACACTAGCTGAGAAATTTTTGTTCCAGTTTTTCCTGCTAATATGCTGAAACAGTGAGGCCGACGCAATATGCTATGCCAGCAAACAGAATTGGCTGGCAATATTCTCACTAGAAAGTAACAGAAAACTCCTTTTTATATTTACCTTGAGTGACTCATACTCCAACTCCGCACCTCTTATTGGAGGCCTTTCCTCCTCCTGTGATATAACATAGACAAGAGTGAGAAAACAAACACACAAACAATCCTTTCTGTTCATTAATATAGTTGAGGCAGAAAAATGAAAAGGAGCTGAAATTATTTTCCTACAAAACTGGAAAATACTCCTTCTGGTACTCGTGAGTACTTTAAGTTGAATACTGGCATTGTCTCACTTATTTATGGGTTTATGACAGTTAATTGGTTAATGTAAATAAAATCACGTACAAATCATGATACTGTCATTGGTAGTAAAACGGAGCAGGATGAGTGCCAGGATGCTCAAGATATCCACTAGCTGGAAAGGAACAAGAAACAACCACCAAAATTGGTTTAATATTTTCATAAATAGAGGCCAAATCAGAAGAGAACTTCAAATAAAGTCTTGTAAGCAAGCCTGTCTAACCCCAGCATTTTGGTTCTTCATCCTGATTGAAACACTTACTCTGCCTGCAAGCATTTCTTTCTCTGCCTAAAAGTAACAATTATTTATTCTCTCCAGTGTTTAAGAAAAGTGCTATAATGCTATTCTTTAATAAAACCAGACTTTTTATCTGAAAAAAAAAAGTCCCAAGTGCTTTTGGTTCCTGCTAACTTCTATCATAGGATCTCAGGGACCTTCGAAAAGTAAATCATCAGTCCCTAGCATAAAACTTGTGGAAAATACAGCAAGTACTAGGGGAAGACACAGATTTAGTTAAAGCCAGTCAGCAGTTACACAGCTGATATTTCACAAGAAGGGATACGCTAGAGTCAGCATTTGATCAGCTAGAAGGAGTCCACCTTAGCTTTAGCACGAAGAGCCTGTTCTTCCTTTCTGTCCAGTTCATCTTGCAGGGATTGCTTTTCTTGCTCCAGCTCTGTAACCCGTTTCTGCAGCTTGAGGAACAGAGACATGTCCAATGGTGCCTTTTTCTCACTTGGTTCCTGCTTTAGAAAGAACAGAAGAAAGTCAAGAAGTATTCCACTTCCACAGCAAAAGGAAGCAATACTGTGAGTAAAGAAGGGAAACAGACTGGGGAAAAGAAAGGCACATAGAAATGTTACTTGATTTTGATAGTTCACTACTGGCATCTAAAACGTTTCATCAGCTGTCAGAACGCTATTTCAAAAGAAGGATCTACTAGCATAAAACATATCTAAGCCTAAAGCCTAGCAAAAGAAAGCACTAGAGAAACCTAGCAGACAGAGGTCTACAATTAAGCATACCTTTTATTCTTACTTGTTTGGAGGGGGGAAGGAGAAAAAAAAGTCTGTGGTTAGACTCACTAGGAAAGCAAACGTAAGCAGGCACTTTTCCTTTTTTTCCACATTTTAAATTATACCTCCAGTAAATTCTTCAGACACAGAGAACTCTCTCTGTGAGTATAGATTTAGATCCTTGATTAACCAGGGTAATTTAGTGGGATGTGACACAAAAAGGTTCTAGAAGATATATTTTATGCCTTTTTCCTTTTATTATGCTAATTAAAGGGCCTGTTCTGGGACTAGTACACTAGCTTTCTTGCTATTTTCTGGGCAAGGACCAGCATTTGTAACCTGAAGATGCATCAGAAATTGTTCGTCAGCCATTTTGTACTTTATGTAGCAAGAAGATTAAAGCACTCTCTATGAAGTGCACCATAAAATTTTGAAGCCTAGAAAGGCAACTAGAAAATTAATAATAATGACTGTAGCAGTTAAACAAGCACAGTCATTTCCACTTCATCTTCCTGTTGAGGGGAAGATTCATAAACTATACCAACAGCTCAGGAAAAAGAAAATGGACTTTGACCTTCTAGCTTTATTGTTTTATAATGAGACAGTCTTTACCGTTTTGTATGTATGGTATGGTTTTGTCATTAATCCGTATTATTAATCTAGAATCATACTGGAGTTTGAAATTTTAAGGGGTTAAATGAATACAATTTAATTTCCCAGTGCTGCGTTTATTTACATTCCTGTGTTACCTTTTTTTTTTTTTTAAAAAAAAAAAACAACAACTTACATTCAAAAAAACAAAACTGGCTCTAGAACAACAATTAATTATGTCTACTGGCCAAAGGAAAAGATGACTTTTGGCTCGTATGTGAGATCCAATCACATGAAGTTGCACTGCCTTTTTCCTGACTGTCCATAAAGATAGGAGCACCTTTCTGAAACAATTCTGCAAAGTGAAATAAGTGGGAAGGCAAACTCTGAAAGCCTCTGCTCAGAATAGTGTCAGCATGAATTTGTCATGGTATCTGCATCACTTGTAGAAAATCACTTTCTGTGGAAGCTTTCAGAAACAGTAACAACAGCCTGTAAAACCAATTGTGGAGATAACTAACCTAGACAGAGGGCAAATGGAGTGAGTTGTGGGATTGCTCAGTTAAGAAAATCTCTAGTAGGCACAGGAAAAGCTTTGCACCTGCCAACTGCCAAGCATAGACCACAAACTTGACAGCTCGCTGCTGTTTTCGCAGTCTCACTCCTGTAGGACTGAGAAGGGACAAAACGAGGAGTTATCTTGGAACATACTGAGAATGGCTTGGAGTTGCACAGCACTTATTCATGATTATTACCCATTAAAGAGACTCATATTTCTGAATATTTTAAAATAATCTGGGATTTATATTACTGCATATGCCAAGGGAAAGTACATTCTCCGTGTGAGCTCAGCCACTGATCAATGAAAAGCTGTGGGTTTTGTTTGTTTTGTTATTGTTGCTTCTATTTTTTTTAAACATTACCTCCATCCTCAGTGGTAAGTCTTCTGCTTCTGTGATCTCAGAGCTGAAAGTATATTCAGATTCATTGCTACTGTGAGTCGAATCCGTTCTTTTGTGTCCAGGCTTGGGGATGCTCTGGAGTGCAAATGAAACAAATCAATACTGCTATATGCTTTTGCCTGTGACTGTTTCTTCATAACTTACAAGTTAGCTTGTAATATTTTCAGTGTAATTCCAGAGCTATCACAATTTATAAGAAAAAGTTTTTGATTCTGGTCTCTTGTGTCATCTAAAGCCTGTGAGACGTAGTTCACAATCAAATTTATGGAGACGGGTCAGATCCTGTAGTAGCAAGTATTCCTGCAGAAAGCAGAATCAAGCAGCAATACAGCACTTCTTGGGAAAGAAAGGCTCGCTTTATAGGAAAGGTGCAAGCAAGGTAGAAAAGCACAGGCAGCAATTCTCTAAATTTCCAGATGTTACAGTGAGGAATATTTTTTCCCCCTGACATATCATATTTCTGGAACTACCTAAAATTTAATACTGGCTGAATGTTGCACAAATAACCCTAACACATGTGAATAACTTCAGGGCAAAGTAAGGGCAGATGGCATGTGCATTACCATTAGTAAAGTCACAACAGAAAATTAGGCTTCTTCCACAAAACTGAAAATAAAAAAATAATCAACCAAAATTTTTAAATGTGTTTGCTTCAGCTGAGCTAAAGTAATTGATCAATGTCTAAAAGAACAAATTCTGTTTTCAGATACAGGTAACAACCACACAGCTGAGAGCAGAATCAATTACTAAATTATACCACTCAATTCTACCTGCATACATTCACGAACAGCTTTTGATTTCTCAGATATTTAGCCACTTACCACCATTAAGTTCATTTCATCCTTGAGATCATCATACCGCTCCTCTAAGCGGCTGAACTCATTTAGCAGGTTCTGATACCGTAACCTTTCATCATTCAGATCTAGCTCCAGCTGTTTCGTTTCCTCCACTAGCTTCTTTTCCATTGCCTCTGCCACGGAGAACAGGAAAAAAGTGAGAACTCCAGTTCTACCTACCATGCAGTGCATCCATCCTGTAGGTACAGGACAGGTGTCTGCAGCAGAACACATGCTGAATGCATTCCACTATGTGAAACTGGTTGGTGGTATCAGTGCTTCCGCAGGCACTGATAAAGCCAAATATATGAAAGGACCAAAGAATTATTGTGGTAAGCACAGAATGGGACACTCACTCAAGGTAGTTATTCTGCTATGGGCTTGCATTAGCAGTTCCAGAAGGGAGGAAAAATGGACACTAGCCCAATGTTTTATTATGTAAGAAGCAAAACATGAGATGCTCTACGCCGCAAGCACACTAACCCTCCTCAATGCAGTTGTCCCTGTCACAGCCCTAACACCTAGAGCTGTGGTCTTTCTGGCTGCTGCCCACACAATGGAAGTGGCAGTTGCCACAGCCACTGACAGGACTCAGACATTCTGGCTCATACTTACACCTCTCTGAAGAGGTAAGCACCAGGCACCCAAGTGTCTTCCTACACATGAAGTACAATATTTGTGTTTACAATTTGTAAACCACACTGGAAAACCGTGCTGCAGTAAATTTGTTGTATTAAATATCAGACCTTCTTTTATAAAGTAAAACTTTTCAGCAAGAACCCTCAACCAAAAAGACCCCAAACTCTTAGGACTTTGCAGAAACTCAAATAGTAAATAATTTTGATGCATGTGAATTCTTAAAACAAAGTAACAAAACCATTAAACTAATAAGGAGTATAAAGTCTATTTTGTATACCTCATTAATAGTAATTGGCAGATCAGCCAAACACGGACAGTAGAGCACAGCTTTACAAAGTAACACGAAGTACAAAATCCAAGTAAAGAGAACAGCACCAACCTGTTATCTCTTTTGCCTGGTCATGGATGCGCCGGTTCAGCTCCTCCTTTTCTGTTTTCAGTAATGTATTCTGATCTTTCAGTTCTGATACCAGCTACAAAAATAATAAAAATATTTGACTCAGAATGCAGTTAATCTTCAACAGCTCCAAAAGAAACTACAGAGTTGTTGTAAAAGTTCAAATACTTAGACTTTTAGTGGTTCCTCGGAGAATGAAATCAGTGAGCTAAGTTATGACATCTTCATTTCTGAAATTACTTTTTTAAATCTATCCCACTGCAGATTCTCTCCTATGTTCTGCATTTGCCCCATTTCTGATCAGATACCAAAACTGCCCTAAACACATCCACTGTGCCATAACATTTTCCAGTGTAGTCACAAAGATGTAGTTTGTTTCTAAAATAAATATATTCCCAAAACAGGAACAAGTTTGGTAGTTCTGTTGTACATTCCATTGCATTTGGTAACACCATAATCTAAAATCCTGCCTCCACCCAAAAGCTGTCCCACTTTAACTGTGCCCAGGTCTGCCAGTTACTTATTTGTTTCTGTTTATGGATATTACACATTCACTTCACTTCATCAATTAATAATTTTTCCTTATATTCATCTAATCTTGAAGTGCTTCACTGCAGGATCACATAACAACAGAATAGCTTGTCCAATATTTAAAATTTGTACCATATCAGCAAGTAACTGTGACAGGGAACAACTCATTTGAAATATTCATGGTTAAAGCAAAGATAAGGGGCTAGTCAAAACCTGCTGAACTAGATTGTCTGCACAGAGTGCTTAGTAGGCTAATTATTTAAATTAGACAGAATATAAGTAGGTACCATTGAATTCTGCACAGGGGACAGATTTCTGACATCTATACAATTATGCTCTTCAAGCAGGTAAAATGATTTATTGGTATGAATATGCTGTATTGGACTAATTGAGTGAGTTTGGGTATTTAATTTTGCAAATACTTTCAATATAAAAATCTGAATAGACTAAATACATATGTTTACATGCAATATATATTTACTATATTCTTCTAGCATAGGTGCAGTTATTTAAGTACCAACCCTATTTAGTGTTGTACTGGTTTAGCATTCCATAAAAATACTGTAAAAGTAACAGTTACACAACTGAAGCAGTTAAGTCTGGGCAAAACCTGAGTGGACACCAGGTCTCTGTAAATCAGCTCACATACCTGGGGACTGCATACTTGCCTGCTCAGTTTCATGTTTGTATTTGTCTGCCCATTCCTCAATGGTCTTCTTCTCAGACTGAGTCTGGTGCAGCTCCTTCCGGAGCTTAGCGATCTCCTCCTGAAGGCTGAGAACACGGTTGGTTGCATTCTTAGCCTCTTCCTCGCTCATTCGAAGCCTCTCCACATCACTCCGAAGTCTCTCTGTCTCCGTACTGTACGTAATCTCCAGGCTGTTCAGTTTCTCCAGCAGAGATTTGTACTCTTTGTTCTTTGCAAAACACAACAGAGACATAGCAGCAGTTGGCAAAGTTCTGGTTTAAGGGAGCTTTCTAGTTGCCTACAAAATATACCCAGACAGGGGAACAAAAGAGCAGTTTCCCCACTCCAAAAAAGCTTCAGCCTGTTTTTGCAGGAGAATTGCTTAAAGGGGTGACAGAACAGTCCAGTCTCTAAGCCTACACATTAACATCCCGAACACAAATCAAAGACACTAAAAAGGATCATCTCACCTTCCCCTTAAACTGAGCAAATAAAGTGCTTCATACGAAATACTGAAGTTAAGGGAGCAGATGTTTTCTCTCATTGCTTCTGAGAGATACAAATGAATGCTCTACAGTTTCATTTCTAGTGTGGTTACTTTTCTCTTCTATCAGTGTTCTTCAGCAGAGAAGAGAACTGATGCCTCGCAATGAAAATTCAGTGTATTTTTCAAATGCTTGCCCACAGTGCTACTGAAGAAAATACAAGACTTCCCAACGCTTTCCCTGAGCTTTACCTGCTCATCAATTTTCCGCTGCAGCTGCATGATCTTGTTCTCCAAGCCAATGTGAAGTTTCTTGTAGCGTTCCACAGAACGAGCTTCTATCTTCAGTTTCTTTAGCTCTCTCTTTGCCATCATGCGCCGGTAACAGCATTGCAAGTAAACAATTGCCTTCAAGGTCCTACGGTAGTGCACACGAGCCAGCCAGCCTCTTACATGTTTCTGAATAATAATAGACTTGTGCTCTCGAAGCATCTACAGTTAAGGAAAAACACCACAAGGGGTATTAGGGTTAGAAACGACACCTGCTCAGTTAAATAGACTCCATAATGAGAGGTGTAAAGATGATGTATTTAGAGACACCTTAGTCTGAAAAGAGAAACTAATGATGAATAGTAAAAGAAATGAATATGGAATGAATTTTTAAAAAACAGAAGAGTAAAAGAAGATTGGAACAAAGAAGATAAAAGGCAATAAAATGAAAAAGAAATGAAATTTAAAACATAAGAAGAAAGAAAGAACTGGAGACATGTTGAAGAACCAGGCATTCCTTTGTGTTGAAGTCAGATCAAGGTAATTACAAAAATACATGGTACCTGTTGGCAAGATTACAAATAGAATCCAGATGACTGTAATTTATTTTTTTGCTGCCTCTTTTAAACTTCCTGGAAGCATTGACATATGCAGCACAGAATTTATCAATATACAGTTTAAAATTCACTATGCTTGATATATAATGCAGCTATTACACACTATAACTCAGAGTATATTACAGCAGCTCCTAATAACAGCAATACAATAGACTAGCTGACTAAACTACAAGTTCCAGTAAGCTTTTGTTTGTTTGTTTGTTTGTTTTTATGGCCTTTTCTTATATTTGCCAGCATGGAAAAATACTTCTTTCTCTATTTATTCTAATCAGAAATTTTATGCTGTTTTAATTCCAACTCATTTAATGGCAGAAGTTTTAACCATAGTTTTGAGTTGTAAAAAAAAATAAATTAATAGTAACTATTTTTTAAAAATCACTTTTAATGAAAAACAATCAAGAACATCAGTAACCATTATCAATATGTCAGCCAGAGATTTCCACTCTGAAGATTCTATGTGTTTTTGGATCCTTCACCCATGGATTCAATCAGAGATCTACCAGGTCTGGAGCACCTGACTACCAGCAGATCACAGCTAGGCTGGGAGAGCCTGCCCAAAACCACAAGGCTTCCAGGACTCTGAGAACTTTAGAGTTCACTTAAAAAAAAAAATAATAAAAAAATTGCTTCTGCAAATTGAACAGTTTATTCTGAAGAGCAAAACTACTTAAGATTTTATATTACTTATTGGATTTGATCGTTACATACTTACATGGATTTACCATAAAGCTAATAAAACAAACTAGTAGTGCAATAAATTTTTATTTTCTTTCATACTGTTTAGCAAATGAACTGAAATGTGTTAGAAAAGTTACATTTTCAGATCAATGAATTTAAAAGGGGCACTAGCAAAACACAACATTTTTAGATATACTCCCTTCACATTCATTTTTAAAGAAAAAACAAAGACTTGAAACATCAGCACTTGACTAAAAAGCACACCTAGGTAAGGAAGTATATCTCTTGAAAGTACAGCAAGGTTAAATGCCAAAGTCCTTCTGACTGCGTGTCACACAATTAGCATTCCTGCCTCCTCCTTACATGTTTCCTGAAATAGTCCTTCACATTACCTGTGGATGCCTTAACAACTAAAATACAACTAGCTTTCAACAGTTTCACCTCAAGCTTGGAAGCAACGAGTCACACTGAATACCTCCATTGTGCAGGGATGGTCTTCATCTGCCAGTGAATTCTCACACCCATGTAATCCAGTGATGAAATGGTACAGTCCAACGTAAGGTAAGAGTATCAGAAAAGTTGCTTAATTTATCAGGTATTTTCCAGGAGAACTTAATAGAAAAGCTGTGAAGGAACTTCTTTAAGAAGTTCCTCTTTAAGAAGGAAATTCCTTCTTAAACTGACAAGCACATCACAAAGTCTCGGGCAGAAGCTTTCCCCGGAATGCGTGAAATAGATGATTCAACCATTTAAAATTCCTTGTGCTAGTCATGTGACCTCCAACCCCTGTCCTCTGTTATAAACACAACAACAGATACCTTTCACAATCCTAACGAACAACACGTGTGCCATATATTACTTACAGAGTCACAGCTCAGCCCAAGGGTGCAGTCACAGTACAACCTTTCAGTTTCACTCATCTGCAATCAGCATGAACCTCAGAACAGCCATGTTTATCTTCGCATGGCACACAGAGCTTGTGCTTCTGTCCCTGTGTCTCAGCCTTAATGAAATTCCACCTTGTGAGGACAATGTCTACACAACACGTCAGACACACATCATGCACTTTCCATCCATGTTATGAACTTTGTGTTTTACTATGGTGAGCAATTCACTGCTCTAAGGGGACATTCCCTGACAGGCAAGTCCAACCACTTCTTAACAATGATACCTCCAGAAATCCGCCATCTCTATTAAAAGGAATAAAACAGATTTAAATAGCATTGCGCTACAGGACAGATGCGGTGTCTATCACTCACAAGAGTATCTTCAGGCATACTGAACCAGCTACCATTTTCCTAAGGGTGGCCTTTAGTCTGTATTTTGCTGCAACCTGTGTCTCACTGTCACATCTATCAGCATCAGGTCACTGTTGAAAACATATCTGACTATCCAGCAACATAAAATATGGTTTCTAACACTAAAAATGCTAAAAATTCTAATAATAAATACTTGCACTAAAAACAGTCGAGTCAAGCACAGTGAACAGAACTTACTAGTCAAAAATTTTGATCACAGAACGCTTGTTTTCAAACATCCTGGTTAGTATATGAGAGGATGATATAATTTAGACGTGCGCATGTGACTATGTAGGCAACTTGAATACAAATGAAAAATATACAAAACTTCAAATATAAGAAAAATGTGTGCAACATAAGCACTAGTTAGCCTTCAGTTTTACATTTTTGCTATGTGGCTGCTTGGGAAAAAATAGAACTCTTGGGTAACTTTTCAATGAAAAACAGGCTGGCTTTTGAGCCTAGTTAAAACAATTCGCTCATAGAAGCGAATTGTCAGAAATGCTGGCATTTTGTAATCAAAACATTTTAATCATAATTCTGTTTCCAGCCCTGTAACCACCAAAGAGGAAATACTAATTTCTCAAAAGAATTTTATTTTTTTATTTTTTATCAAGCATAGTCAGAAAAATGTCATCAGTATCACATGAACAGGGTCATAGCAATTTATCTCCAAAACAAAACCAACATCAATATATAAAAACCGAGAACATGCTGAAGTTTTAATTTCCTATTTTTGTGGGTATCTCCATGCTAATATTCATGTCCTTCAGTATTTTCTCTAAACCCTGACATAATTTCACAAATTCTTTGAAATTAGAGATAGGATAGGATACTGCAGCATATATATATTGATGTGGGCAATACTGATTTGGACTCATGGAGACATATCCACACTAGTTTATTTTCAATATTTATTTTAAGTGCCTCTATATTCTATGTAATGAATACAAATATATAATGAATGTAATATTCTATTACAATGAATGTAATATTCTATGTAATGAATAAGTTTTCTGAAGAGTAAGCCTGTAAATCCCTGTAAGATACTCCACTGACTGCATGGGAAGCCTACGTATGCATATTAGATGACAATGGGAATACCTCTAAAATGACTAGTTCATTGATTGCAGTATCAGATCTTTCTAATTTCCAGGTGCTGCCTTTCCATCCACACTGTGATGTTTTGTTTGAGCACTATGCATAACAGCACACACACACATTTCAGACTCCCAAGTGAACACCACAGAGCAGCTTCATCCCCCGAAGGTATGTGGAAATAAAGTTAGAGTGAAAAGGTAAAACACTATGATTTCTTACCATTTGGTACTTGTTCCTGGCCATATAACCTCTTAAGAGAGCCTGAAGAGCAATAGTAGCATCTCGCATGCACTGGTATCTTTTCCGGACCACATACATACGCTGGAACTTCTGAATAGTGATGGCGGCCCGTGTTCTCCGTAGGAACGTGGCATAGCTATACAAGAAACATTACAGTAATACCTGTAATTAGTTTCCAACATTTGAATACTATTTTTACATCCTTTAACCTTACTCTCTCTTAAGAGCTATATGTTCTACTTCACTTTCTTCCTAGTGTTGTCAGTAGTACTGCATATGTACTTGCTATTCAACCCTATGGCACTATTACAGAATGACAAATGAACAGAAATCTTGCAAGGTTTTCCACGAAATGTTTTCACTTCTTCTAAAAACTGTGCTATTGAACTGACAAAATAAATTCGGCTTCATTTCTCATCACCTTTTCTTCAGCTTTACAACTATTTCCACTTCCAGACTTCCTCTCCTCACCTCAACATATAGAAAATGGTTGCTCATACTCAGTCTTCTCAGCAAGAAAATTACATCTTGACATAAGCCTCTCTCCCAAAGTAAATTTTTACAGTCTCCATAACCACCTTGTCTTTGAATGATGCTACCTTCACTCCTACTCTTTTTTCTGGCTTATGAAGAGCCATTCCTCAGGTGTAAACCCAAACAAATGACTCTGGCTGATGTATCTCCCTTCACAGCTGCACCCTGGATGACAAATAGCTTCTCCAGCAGGACAGACAGACCCAGTTACGAGTGCATGTGGAAGCTGGGCAATAACAATTCAACCAGAAGTCCTGCTTTACCTCACCTGCAGCCATATCTCCTAGTATTACTTTTACTCTGCTCCCACTAACAACATACTGTTCTAACCACCATCTGGCTGGGGTGCTACCATCTTCTTATGAAGGTCAAAAACAGGCAGGACAGACACACTCATTATATTCAATTTCCTTAATTTCCCTGGAAAATCGTTTCCTCTCAGCCAGCAGAGGAAGGAGAGAGCAGATGTATCATATTTAAATGTCCTACTTAAAGGGATCTGAATCAAGGCTAGCGTGGATTTTCCCAAGAGTGCTGCTTACCATCGTGCTTGATACCCTCTGACATATCTCTGAATGGTGATGGCAGCCTTCCTCATACGCACGTACTTCTTTCTCATCAGCCAGCCTCGGATTGTCTTTTGGATGCGGATACAAGCAGCTCTCAACTTATCTGCCCTTATTTTTTCCAGGTAGGCTACTTGACCAGCCCGAAAAAATATTTTTGTCTTACCAAACTGGTACTTATCCTTGTCCTATTTTCAAAGGTAAAAAGATGATCAGTTACAGCATTAAATGTTAGTGGATTAAAAAAGGCATGAAGGCTAAATTAAAATACAGTTAGTAAAGAGGTAAATTTAACTGTGTAATACTACAAGTAAATCTAGACTTGTATAGGCTAGTGGAGGAAAGGAGTTTCTTTATATGATTCTGTTAACAAATTAATACAGTAAGGCCACAAGTAGGGCCTAAAGGACTAACATAAGGTATTTGCTTAAACAAGAACACCGAAGTCTACAAGTCATGGAAGGCTGTAAGAGGTGAAAAAGAGGCCCAGAGGATGAAAACAATACTGCACATTTGTAATTTCTTGCTTAAATAGTAGATGGCCCCTCCCAGTGGTCCATCTTCAACCGTATTACACAGTAGAAAGGAAATAGCTCAGGTTCCACATATGTACTCCTCATTCACTGCCACCAGAGCTAAGCCAAAACAAAACATACCTATGCTGCTCACACACATCTGAAATTTCAGAACTAAAACAAAAAGAGAATAGTACTTTTATCTTTGTATGGCTGTAGTACTCCTTGGAGAGAAACTTTAAGAGTATACAAAGGTATGATTAAAAAAAGATTAATTTTGTTGATTTATTGATATCAAGTTGAAATGAATGGCAAAGAGCTTCAGCTTAGGATAAGTTAAGATTTTGTGTGCACACACAAACCAGAAGATTTTAGTTAAGAGTTTAGAAAGCCAAGCTCCAACCTGCCTGAAGAATATTTATTTTTCTTCTTTCCATAAACTTCCTACTACTAGAGCTGCACTTCAGTAAGAAAAATTTTATTGCTTTTGTATCTTTATAAACATTCTTTCTTTCTCTTACTAACTTGTATGTCTGAGTAAGTCGTGATTAACCACCTTCTATTTGAGAAATACTTAGAATTGTCTCTTTGGAGGCTGCCTTCCTCCACTGCTCATTGATCCTTAAGAAATCCCATCAGTCTGGGTGCAACTTGGCTGTGTTGATGTCATAGGACATGTAATGTAGGGAAATATAGAGCTACGACAGAAGGAAGGAGGTAAAGCAAGGGGCTGTTGAGGTATCACAAAGGCTGATAGCACTGAGTGAGGAGACCTATCTTTATTCCTTCAAATTCCAAATGCTTTAAGCACTACGTCTAGTACCAGAATTAGCTTCTCCAGGACATTTTTACATGTCTGCTTTCGATCACCAAGAACATCTCTCTGCTTCATCAGAACACGGTAACGGCTGAAGAACTCTTGGTATGTCCACCTGTTCCATAAAACAGAGATAGTGTCAGTCCACACAATGATCAGCTCTCTTAAGAAGAACAGCTGTAGATGAAAGCAATCTAAAAAGCAACAAACACACCTTGAGGGAAAGCCAGCTGCACTGATTCGGATGGTCTCCAGGACACCACAAGCTCTCAACTGCTGCACTGCCCGCTTTTCATCAAATCTATGTCAGAATAAAAAAAGCCTTTGAGCGTGAGGTTAGTCTTGTCTTACATGGTCCCTTTGGATCTGTGAGACGTGACGATTGGATAGGAAGTCCAGGCAGTGCTTCCACAACTCAGCAATAACAGATGACATTCTGACTGGGGAATTCAGATTCGCCTGAGCCCATCAGCTGCTCCAAATGCTTATCTTGACCCATCCCACTTCTCACCAGTCTGCCTGATACTCATGGTCATGGAGGTCTTTGTGAGCCCAGATATTAAGCAGACACTTGAGAAAAGTTCTAAGCAAGTTCATATATGAAAAATAAGAAAGGTAAGGAATAACTGAAAATAAGGAAACAATGGAATCTGCAAAAGCAAGTTCCATCAGCTGTTACATATACTGTCAGTCAAATTCAAAACAGCTAAAAATGAAATTGCAGGTATTTTTTCTCATATATTATCACACAACAGAAAATGCTCATAAAGTACTTCTCCCTCCACTCAACCCAAAATATCTCCTGCTGTAAGTACACATAGTAATGCACAATGAGTACGTAACAACAGAAATGAAACACACCACTTCATTTCTGAGTGAGCAACGTTTAGCAGAGCCTCAATTCTGTGAGTCCTTGTGCAATTCCCTTCTTTCAAAGGCCTATAAAACCATACAAGAAACAGCTTACGTGAATGGAAACTTGAAGTCATTAGGTTTAATACAGCGCACGTAGTGTGGAGTTGTAGCGTTCAGGGTTTCCATCAGCAGATGAAGAGAGTTTCGGAACTTTTTGAAAAAGAAGGGAGAAACATCAGGGAATAACCTCAGGAATCTCAGTCACATTTGAAATAATCTTAGGAAGCAGGTTCAGGGATACATGCTAACTTGTAATAATGTTTTTGGTAGTAAACACAACACCAACTTGTTTTTGTTATGGCAACAGGTTTTAGTTTCAGGTACCATCTTCAGGTTAACTGTATTACAGTGAGATGTCTAAATGTTAGGCTTTATGGGAGTAAAATTCAGAAACATTACTTTTAAATCTGCATCCTCAAACTCACCTGATGCCCCACAGTTTTCTTATGTTCCTTGCTGGTTTGCCCTGGCCTGGCCTTGGCTGGTTTTACAGCAGTTCGAGACAATGGCACACGGCCTGAAGGGGTTGCTGACGTGGGACTGAGCACCTTCTCCTCATCCTGGAATAACTCTGGTAGCAGCTTAAACTGGTAAGAGCAGAAAAAAATACCTAGTAAGTGATGGCACCCATTCGTGTTTAAGGTGCTTAGAATCCAGGCTCAGTTTTTTTCTTCAACTTCACATAGCAATAATAGGGACAAAAAATGTAAAAGAGCATTCATTCAAGCTAGTAGCGTAGTGAGTGGGCCAGGATAACACTAAAAACTTAGTGGTTTTGATCAGTGAGTCTCCTTCTGACAACAAAATTCTGATTTGAGTATTTTTCCATAGAGCAGCAATAGCTTCCATGTGAAAATGCTAGATACTGACAGCAGTTTCATAAGTACCAGTTGCAATTATCTGGCTGCTTTGATGTAGGAAGGAAACAACAGGGTCCTTTCATATTCCAGTGGTGCATAAGATTCCTGTAAGTGATTGAGAAATATCTAGGACACTGAATAATCCAACAGGCAACAAAAAAATGTTCCTCCTTTATCAATCTAAATTGAAACAACAAACTTAAAAGAGGAACTATCAAAAAAAACCCTATAAATTAAATATAATAATAATAAAAAAATAACAGCCAAATTCATGTATTCATGAATTCACTGAAGAGCTACTCTCAGGCCAGTGGGAGCAGAAGAAAAACCTGACCAATCTTTCCAAACATCATTCAGAGCTTCTGGTTCCCTTTCTCTAATGACTATAAGATACACCCATACATAATAGCTGCTTTGAAGTAACTTATAACTAAAAATAATACCATCAGGTCTTTCTACCAAAAATGTTATCTCTTCAGAAGCATTGTAAAAGAAAGAATATCTGAGCGTCTCTAGCTGTCAATGAATAATCTTTAATCTAGCATCTGTGCATTTTCTCCCAAGAGATAGGAGGCATTCAATTTTCAGTACTAGAAAGTGCTTGGGCTAAGTACAACCTAAAAAATAAAAAAATTGTTTTTGCCTTATAAAACTTAGTGAATGATATGATATGATATCATATGATATCATATGAATGATATCCAATGAAACATGCTGGGCAACAAAATGGTATTTGTGCTTTGTGATTGTGCCAGATGGGCTAGCAGAAGGCATCAAATGTTTCTCAGTAGCATCTAGCACAGCACTTCAGCTTAATATGAGTATGAATGCTATGGAGGTATCCTAAATCCCTGAACTAAAAGAGGAGTATTGCAGCTCAGCTTTATCTCACCTGAGTCTGCCAGGTCAGGAGCAGTCACCTTAGATTACCTCTGTGGCAGGTGGGAGAATGACATCTCCAGAGGGTGATTTAGCCCATCTCCTTCCACTGACTCAACAAATAGTTTAGGATAACCAGGCCGCCACCACCTCGTGCAGCTGCCTGCAGTCAGATGGAGGGAAGCTGTGTGTGCAGCTATCTGAGGTACACAGCCAAGTCCTTTAATTCCATACAGAAACTTATTTGAATACAATATGCTTTGTCTGAAACCGCTGATGCTTTAACACAACACGGGTGCAGGTGGGGAAAAGGTCCCCAGTGTCTGGTTTGGGGATGGATGAGCTTTTCTAAGCTATCAAGCACATAAGTCTCATTCCTTCCCTCTTTCCAACCCTGTGAAAGCCCACCTGTAAATATGGGCAAGTACATTTCAAAGTTACCATTTTCATAGATGCTGCCACAGTTATTGCATACAGAAGAAAGGCACAACTGCCTTCTGCAACAGAGGTCACCAGCAGAGCATGGCTGAGCAGATCCACACTGTGGAGGCATTTATATTCTGGTCTGGGTTGGGTTTTTCCTATCTTATCGCTTTTCTTTGTTTTGCAGAACACAAGGAGTGTTCAAAGAGAGAGAAAACACTGATCAAAGGGCAGACAATTCACATGGTAGAAAACAAGCAAGCATTTTTACCCTGTAATTTTTTTCAGATGACTTAACAGACATTCTGCTAACATAATCTTACAATGTCTTTCAATATACAGAACCACAACAGAATATCTTAACAACATGCCAGTAGCAAGCATAAAAGCTAAGGACTATTGTGCTACTTTCATGACACATGCATGGAAACTGAGCTAGTTCAAATAGATACTGTGGGTGGATTTAAAGAGAAGGCCAAAATATATAACTAAACACTACAGTGCCTGCCAAGAGCAGTGTGTGTCATGCACTTTGGAGAGCAAAGAAGCATTCAAGCTGTATGCTCAAACCCCTAGAAGCAACAGCATGCATGGGCAGGATGACAGATGATGCATTCGTTTCAGAATTACCTTCTGTTGAATGTGTACAGCAAACCCAGAGAACAGCAACAACAAAAAAGAATAAAAATCAGCAATATAATCCTACAGCAAATACTAATAAAGAGGGCCTGCTGAAAAATAAAAATGAAACATTCATATTTTAAGTGTTTGGGAGAAAACACTCATTTTGGTAAAATTTACCATTGGGAAAACTGTCTTGTTTATCAGCCTTCAGACTGAACTGATTTTACATACCAAGTCTGCCCAAGCAGTGACGATGCTGTTACAGCTGCCTCCACCCTGCCCCAGCAGCACTGCCCAGCGTGCTGCCCCTGCGTGGCCCAGCCTGCGCTCGGCAGGCAGCTGGACCCAGCAGCCTCCCGGGTGCCGCAGCGCCTCGCCGAGGAAAAGCAATTGACTTAAGACATTTCAATGTTTCTCTCAGTGGAAAGCCTGCTGTAGTTTTTTTATACTACGCGTTTTAATCACTTAATTTCATCAACCTGCTCACAACATAAACAAAAAAAAAGAACGTGCTGGATTTCCTGATAGTGTACTTTTAAAGTCTGTCCTTGGTACCAAGCTTCCTGGGCCATTACAGCTAGCAAATTCCCAAGGGCCATCAGACTGCAACGTGAAGTCAATTGCCTTTAAATTTCAGAAGAGCACAACCAGCATTTTTGACATTAAAAACACAGACAATACAATTGAAGGCTTGTTCTATAATATTTCTTAATGCAGTATATTTCTACTCATATGTTATTTATCAGTCATAGACACCAAAAAGACAAGGCTCAAGCAAATTCTGGTTCATGTCATTAGGGTCTAGGGATTTCCCTCCCTTCTCATCTCACCTCTAGAACAGAACTTGTCTCTCCTGCAGAAATCTTCTGCTCAGTTGTCAAGCTGTAGACAAGGACTTTCTGTTTTCAGATTAAAAAAGGCTTAACTGCTAAGCCTTCCTATACTACTATAGTATGTTAGGGAAAAAAGGGGTTAATTTTGACCCACTGAAATCAGTGGATACATATAGACAAATCTTAGCTGAAGCAAAATTCGGCTACAGGGCTTTCTAAATCCATATGGATAAACAGGTAAATGTGACACAAACTATGTTCATCTTTGGCCTGTTCTAATATTCAGGGAGAAAAATTTCCTGGATATATGAGAAATTTCATATGACCCTTAACTCAAGGCATCAAAACTGCAGAGGAAGAAAAAATAATCCTGATACTAACCTTACTTGATTTGAGGACCTTAATTTGTTCTTCATAAACTGTGTCTTTATTCTTTTCTAGAAAGCCTTCACATTGATATTCCACCTGAAAACAGTAATTTTACCAAAAAAAAGTATTAGTATTAGTAAGTATTAAAAGTATCAAATAAGAATATTTTTTGCATAGAATTTACCAGCTGTAACATTCACATCAAACCATAATTCTTGTGGATGTTGAGAATATCATCTCCCAAGTGCATCTTTGTTAAATATAGACTTTGCTCAAAAACAGTGCTTTCCAGTAAGTGTAAAACACACGTGTAGAGATTAATACTATTATTGCATGACACTATGTGTATTTCATTGCAGAGAGATGTCTATGGTAAAGAGAGCAGTGAATGAATGGTTCCCATGAAGGTGAAAAATCAAAATCTGTGTCAAACATCTCTTTCACTGAAGTTATCAGGGCTGCAAAATTGTGTGAAATCCAGGTGCAACTGAGAACAAAATCTCTCATCTCATTAGCTGAGAGGCAGTAAGTAAATCTGCCTGCAACTTATTATGAAAATGCCTCATTTGTAATCAGAAAGGCTATTACTTCCAGAAACAATACAAAGTCTGTGTGGTGTGACAATACACAACAATCCTCTATCATGGGGGCCATAGATTCTGTATCGAAGAATTGTCAGAGCTTCAAACGTAAACCTAGTATTTCACAGTCCTAATTGCAGGCTGAACAAAATAGAAAGCTATCATCAAAAGTCTACACCTTTTTAATTTAATTAAGTAAGTATGCTAACTCTCCTTAAAGGTCTCACTCTGATTTTGTATCAGCAGAAGTGCAGGGCTATAAAATACAAGAGTAGACCCTTATATCAATTTTGCTCTTTCCGAGCATAGATTGATACCCATCAGTAGACTCTCTGTAAGGAAAAGCCATTTAGCAGTGCTTACATAATGAAACTATTCCACAACCTGCAAACAATTTTAAAAAGTTCCTGTGGGGGAAACAAATTGGAGGAGTTCTCCAAGGTCTGCCCACAAGTCGAGGCCCACTCTGAATATTTCTTCGGGTACCACTTATGTTCTTCGTGCAGGAAACAATGCCACAAGAGGGCAGCAGGATCTCTGCTTTCTCCCAGAAAAAGATGACAGATGACAACACGCAGCTTTTTAACAGGCCAGCTACAGTTTCATGTTTGCCTTTAGTTGTCTGTATGCATTCAGGTAAGCACGTATTAATTAAATCCTTCTTGTTCTATCATGTAGCAAATAAAACAGAACTCAGAAATCTGAACAGTTACAGAGATCTTGTTACTTTCCTTAAGCAAACACCAAAGCGACAAGAAGAGGGCCTCTCCTCTATGCATAAATTCAAGAACCTGGGTGAATCAAGCAGAGGCAAAAACAGACCTCCAGTCCCCCAAGGCAGCACACCCAGACCTTCTGACAAGAATCCCAGAGATTGTCCAAGCCTGCGACCCAAGTTTTTTGACAAATGTGACAAAATTCTGAGCCAGCTTCTTTGTTTAACAGGACAGTTATCTTAAACTGGATTTTCTGTTTTCATTGCAACTTGAGGAGCTGCCCAGCTGGGCTGTGCACTGCCAGAGCTGGACAGTGTGCGCATTCCACTGAGCAACCATTGTCCAGCTTGCTAGAAATAGCCGTTTGCTGGCCAGCGGAGGTTAAGGGTGGGAAGAGTACATACTGCTTGAGCGATAAGAAGCAGGGTGTGTTAGCCTCCTGCCTGTTTGCACATTAAGATGGCAGCAAAACTGGCATGATTTCATTGCTGCTCTTTCGCTCAAACTGGTGAGCTTTATGATTTGCTATTTTGTCTCCTTTTGTAGTGTAACTGGAACTTACACAGTTACAGTAGTGACTCACACTGAGCTGTTACATTTTGAAAAAAGGCTAGTTAGTGGTACAGCATGTGATAGGAGTCAGGAGCTCTTGTTTGTGTTCCTGGCTCTGCACAGCTGCCAGCTCAACTTTCTCCTGATCCGGTGTACAAGCAGGCACACGTTTTGCAGGAAGCCAAGTAGAAAAGCAGGCTGCTGTCCACTAGTCACCCTCTCAGCTTGGTATTTTTGCCTCGTGGCCAGGAGGAATGCTTCCTGCACGCTCCCTACCCCACTTCAACAAACTGAACAGCATTAGCCAAAACCTGCTCTTCAAACTGTATCAGCTGAAGGGGCTCAACAGGAGAGGAAACAATCAGCTGAAGCCACCAGCAGATTGAAGGGCACAGTAACAAACATGCAGAGCTGATAACTTCTTGCCCCGGCACAGCTAGATATGGAAACGTCTGTCAATCCACAGCTCCAGTTTATCACCTGACCTGCTGACAGGTTTCACCAGGCAGCAGGGCAGCCCAGCTGCTGGCCTGTACACATCCAGGGAGTTTCTGGGCAGAAGCTCTCCCGAGCCAGGCACAGCCGCAGCTCAGCTCCACGGGGCAGCCGCTCACCCTGGCCTCTCCCCGCACACGCACACTCAGCAGCTTCAGCTCCGGAAAGAGGTACCAGCAGAAAACACCTTACCTTGTCAGCAAAGTGCTTGATGATGAAAGCCTTATTTGATAAACGTGGTTTTTCAAAGAGGGCACATTTATTCAAATGAGTATTGTATAGCTTTTGGGCCCAAGTGTCATCCGAGCCTTTTGGCATCTGCGTAAGAGAACAAACACAAAGACATTTGAAATGTCTTGAAAATTTTTCGGTAGTAAAACAAACTAAGGAGATGTGGACAATATTTTGTGATTTGCTTTCAAATTCTATCTGCTTGGATTTCCAGTACTGCCATAAACAAGGCAGCCAGCAACTCGCCACATGCTTGCTTTTCAGATACTCTGGACTGATGCAGTCCCTAATGCTGTTGTGCAACACGAACAATGCTCACCACACTTTCAGTGTCACACAATTGAGGGTGAGGATCTCAGAGATATGTTATCTGACAGCAGTATTTTGGTGGGTCAGAACTCATCCACCCACCACTAGAGGCTGTGATATGCAAAGACCCCAGGCTGAGCTTCCATTGAATACAATAACACACACCTTGCCCCGTATGTGGCTTGTCATACCTTGAGATAAAAGGCAAAAGGTGAAACACCAAGCAAGAGGTGACTTGCAGAAATTTAACAGGACCAAAGACTGCTATGCTGCACTCAGGAAGGGGAAAGTTGACACAGTCATAGCAAAGGCTGATCAGAGACCCAGAGATAGTTGCAGGTACACTCACAGACAGGAGAGGGGGGGAAAAAAGCAACATGACTAAAAATCATTTTTTATCCTCCTGTAATCGCCAGTTCTGTTTTTAAGCTCTCTAAATCATCTCAACTGCACAATGTCAAAATAATGGCTATATGCAGATGATTTTTCCCTGTGAGGCTCTAGTTGATAAAAGCACTTGAAAACACACCTTGCACTCCTCATCTAACAGATCCAGAATTCCCATTTTAGCCTCTATGAGGTTGATGCAAGGCTGATTGTCGTAGAAATCAATCAAGGTCCACGGTATTTGTTCCTTCATATATTCTTCTTGTTCCAACTTAAAGACATGCTACAGGGCAAAAAGAAAACAGTTTTCTGTGAAACAGAATGCAGAATAAATACAGCGAACTCCCACTTGAATTCATCTTGTCACATTAATCCAGGCTGTCAAGTGATGCACAAGTTAAACTGCATAAACCTTTTAACAAGTGTATGAAAGACAAATTAACCTTTTTTTCCTGGGCCTAAAAACCAACAGACTAAATCCATACTCTCTGCAAATAAGGTCTATTTTTTCCTACCTTTTTCCTATATTGTTCCACAATTACTGTAAGCTCTTTTTTTCTGAAAATAACAAAAAACCCAGAAGAGTACAGGAACAGCAAGTTATAAACTGAGATGTGCCATGCATTTATGATTCTGAAGTTATGAATACTGCTCTATTTCAAGTAAAATTTCACTATAAATACTTTTGTGTTCTCTGGTAAAAGAGCAGAGTTCCATTTTCTCTCAAATGACTGTTAGTTTTTTTTCCTGAGATGACGTATTACACTAAAATATACTCTTCAGCAAAAACCTCCCAAGAACGACTCTAAGAGTATTAGCACAAGAAATCATTTAAGCAAAATTTTGTGGAAAATGCATCTGGTACAAAGATCAATAAAAATGAAGTTGTATATTTTTTCAAAAACAATACCACAAAAAACCTGCACAGCTTTAATAAAATGTGCATAGGAGATAAAGTTAAACTTCAGGGAAAAAAAGGATGATAAAATATTAAACAAGGAAACTGTGGTCTTAATAGCACAAGCATACTTTTTAAAAATGGAGAAGACTGCTGACTCCAGTTATTTTAAACTAAATTTTATCTCCCATTTAAATTTTAATGTATACTAACTGCTCTGACAGGCAAAAATAAATTCAGAACACATCCTAATAATCACCAAACAACAGCACTAGTGGCACTATTTAGGGGACCACCAGCAACACCTATAGTCTCGGAACCGGCATTAATTGCCCCCTTAATTCAGTGCAGAAGGCCATTAACACCCTCTGGCTCTCCAGCACACTCCAGTAAAACAGCAGAAAGCTATCCTGACAAAGCAGTTTATCCCCTTTATTTCATTAGCTTAACACAATCCTTTCCAAAACAGCACTCCTTAACAGCACCCATGGGAGCCTTTCCATGCTCATCCACTTAACAGCTGCATTACATGCAAGTTAATTCCTGACAGGAAAGTAAATGATAAAATTTTATTGGTCTATCATATCCAAACTATCTAAACCCTGAAAGGAAACAAACCCACTTCTTTACTGGAAAGGAATTAGCAATTTTGTGGTGAAAAATGTCTTCAGACCTGATTTTATTTATAGCATGATGAAGGTCCAGCTGCAGTGGGCGACCACGACAGCCGGGGCTGTCACACAGGGCCCTGGGAGCTGGGCTCCTTCAGCCCGTGGACGAGGAGGCCTGGAAGGTGTCTTGGTGGTCTGTGACGACCTAATGGTCAGGTGTGGAGAAGAATATTTCCAGAGCTGCCCAGGGGAAAGATGAAGGGTGACAGGGACAGGTTGGCACACAGTTTTGACTCAAAAAGCCTTTTTTAGGCTGGGGTGGCCAGACACCAGAAGGGTGGCCAGGAGAGGCTGTGGAGACGTGTGAGACTCAGCCAGGCTGGGCTCTGAGCAAGCTGCTCTCAGCAGGGGTTGGCCAACGTACCATCCTGGGGCTCCTCTCAGCCTACTTGCTTTGGGGCACCTATTAATGAAGAGTGCACACCACCTCCATGATCCCACAAGCATAAGGAAGCAGAGAGTGAAGACTTATCAAAGACCTGGCCAGCACAAAAGTACAAAGCTTTTACATTGGGTGGCTGAATACTGGGAGAGGTTCACAGCATGACAAAACAAAGGCATGCTGTAGATAGCCAAGACATCACAGTTTCATGTTTGTCTAAGTTGTGACATTTGTCAAAGCAACAACATATTTAATTATCATAAGTTCCTGAAGCTGTGCTTTCTTAATCAGCAGCACAGAAGCTGCCACATCCATATTTCTGCATCCTCCTGCCTTTTGGTGTTTGGTAGCTTAGAAGGGGATCAATACAAAAGCCCCTTCACCCCATCCTTTGTGAAATGTGTGGGAAGGAGAAGATGGGAACAGCGATAAGTGAAACATTTTTATTTTCACAGTGACTGATTTTTTTCTGCGGAGCCGAGAAAACTCTGAAATACCTTGTGCTTTAGCAGCAATGACGTCTAGCTTATGGAGCTGAAACCATCTGCAGCACTATAAATACAAGAAGGCCATTCTGGAGCTGGAAAGCTAGCCCCAGCTCTAACAGACATTACTCCTGGTTATATGTCCCTGCCGCTGGGAAAAACAATTGCTCAGGGTGATCCAGTTCTGCAAATATGCACCACCACTGAGGTACACTTGTATATATAGTTCAAAGCTATTCCAGTACTGCAGCACAGCCTAGCAACAGGCCTGGCATAAATAACTTGCCTCATCATTATGCAGGTAAGATATATAATTACAAACGTCACTGAGGCTGAGGAGAGAGAGAGAATCGTGATCTCTCTGAAGGAGGGAGAAGAGGCGCCTTTTGCCACACGTCAGCAATCAACTTAAGGTTGGCTGTAAACCCTCAAAAAATAATGCCAGTTGCACTAGCAGAGAAAGTGAGCAGTGGCAGACTTCCAACGGTGAAGTTCTGCTCTTTCCTATCAGTGCATAAACTCTTGTTGCAGGTTATAAAGACCCAGCTAACTCCAGCTTCATCCATACAGTGCTCTCGTTGACAGGCAATCTCAGAGTCTTAATTGCCAAGCACTGCTTCTGTCTTATAATTGTTATTGTGATCAGAATTTCAAATAGTCCCAGAGCAGCAGTTAGTCATAAAATCTATTTCCAGGAGATAGTCAATCTTTCCCCCATCCCCCAAGCCCCACGGCCAGGACAGCTGGTTAATAGACTAAAGAAATTTATCTTAACCACTGGGGACCCAATTAGCTGGATGGACTTTGGTGAGGGGAAAGAGAAGAGGAAATGCCAGTAATTTCCTACTTACCATATTGAACTGTTGCTGCAGTTTTTCATTGGCATAGTTGATACAAAACTGTTCAAAGCTGTTGATTTCAAATGTCTCAAATCTAAAATATGCAGATACTCAAAATTATTTATGGAGTGAAAAGACAGATAAAATGGCCCCATAACTTCAAATTCCCTCCCTCCAAGCAAATTAATTGCATTATTCTAGGCATAAACAACCACAACCAAGCAATGAAGCAGATAGGGAAATGGCAAGTTGCAAAGCAATGGCAATTCAGAGATGCTCCCTCTTTTGGCAGGGATGATAAACCATATGGAAGGGATTGACTTTCCCAGAGAGCATTAGTTATCTTTGTACCCTCTGAAAGTGCTACACTGAACAAATCATGAGTTTACAACTAGCATGCAACTTCCAATATGCAATTTATTTTCTTTATTTAGTTTATTTAATTTATCAAATTTCTATGCAATACATAAAGATACTACAAATGCCAAAAATATGAAATCCCACTGTAAATGTCTAACTTAAGACAAAGATCTTGGATAGCACGTCAAAACTAAACACCTACTTCCTTCATCTGGAATAAGCAGATTTATTTTTTTTTTGGTTGGTTGTATAATCCAAACAGTGCTGCATGATAAAGACAGACACTTTGCAATAAGAAAATGACATAAGTGGTGTATGACTGACAAAAAGACTCACCCATAAATGTCCAACACTCCAATGAAAGAATGCTGTTTTACAGTAGAATGAAGGGCTTTGTTCACGTGATCTACAATCCAGTTAAAAAGATTAGCATAGATATGTTTGGCAAGTGCATCTCTGGCATTGATGGCATGGAGTTTAGAAATTGGCTTGATGTAGGTTTCGGTGGCAGTTGCAAGCTTCCTGTGGCAAAGCCAGTGGGCCATCTCTTCATACTCCACACCCATGAGGTCACAGAAGATGGTGAGGGGATCATGTTTGGGCTAATAAAAATAAAATAAAATTGTTCGTTCTTGAAACAGTATTACAAATATTTCACATGCAATCATATAATCCAAAGAACTGCCTGCCTGCAGTGATCTAACAATAAGCAACAACAGCAGCTTCCTGAACTCATCTTCCTCCAGAACGTAAGAAGTTCCCTGCCCGCTTATTGCATTCCCATCACTAAAGTAAGTTACCAAATCAGTTTCCCCAGAGGCATTTCCTGATACTCATGTGAATCAGAAAGACCTACACAGGGAACCTGCAACCTCTGCAAAAATGAATCTCCTAACCTCACAAGGACGGACTTTGCATTTTGAGTACTTATAACTGTTTTACTTTTGAGTAAAGAAAGTAGCAAAATGCAAAGGACATGACATCACCTATGTGCTGGGGACAGAAGGGACACCCGTGGCAGGGTGTGATGGGTAATGGGGCACCATCCAGTGGGATTCCTGCATTGGAGATGCACATTACAACCCAGCCTACCTCATCACATTTGGGGGCTCATCAGCTTCCTACCATGATCATTAAATGATGCTTTATTTGTAGTGAAGACCTTTTTAAGGCACACCAAAGAGCTAGTCTATTGTGGATTCACAGCAGCTATCCATTAGATCCCAAAGACAATCTCAGACCAGGCACACTGATCAGCTCTGGTCCTATGAAAGACCTGTTGTCTCAGCTCCAGAAACTGCTACTGCAGATGCTTGAGAAACCAACTGCTTGCCAATAAACCCTGAAACTGCTTGTACTGTTTGAAGGGAGAGAATGATGAAGGCTGTGTAGTACTGCAGTAGATATTCAAGGAAAGACAGAAGGAGAAACTGCTCACTTCTGAATCCAAGAAAAAGAAGAGTGACAAGAGCAGAACAGAAGCCAGATCTTTTTTGCTTCTCATCTCAAAATAAGGAGTTCAGCAGGAAGCTTTGGTCCTTACTAACAAAGAGTTTGTTTTCATATCAGACTGTGCACTCCTCGCTGCTGACCAACAAAGTTAAAAAAAAGACTTATAAAACCAAGACACTCTTAAAAGAGTCACATCTGTATATCCTTGGCTCCTGTCACCTAGACACTGCAGAGACCTTTGGAAACCATTTGCTTTGCAATTATTTCGGCTAGATTGGTATTTAACAAAAACCAGTCCATCCTGCAAACCATACACTGTGGGCAGGAAATGTATTCATGTTGGAATATAAAGATCTAGACACCTGCTGAGGACTTCAAAGCTGTTTAGCAGACTTTTCTAGGACAGATCAGTTACAGTTCTGAAAAGAAATTAAGGCAGCCACAGATTCAATACAAAGAATACTGTCTGAAAGCTCTAAATTGAGAAGAGTTGGATCCATCTGCAAAAGGAACCGAAAATATTACTATATTAGAAACAAACACATATTGTTTGTTTTTATGTTATTACTTTTTTTTTTCAGAAAAAAATCCTTCTGCAAACAAGCAGAACGCACAACTGCCAGGACAGAAACCATGGCCTTGAGCTCATCTACTACTCACAGGAATGGCGCAGCTGTCAGAATCCCGAGATGCAAACTCCACATTGCCCAAGTGAAGGATGCCAGCGAGGATTCGAAAAATTCCCATCTGGTAGGAATCGCTAATCCCTGAAAAATTATGAATTAAATGTTTTGAGTGGATGAAGAAGTAAAGAACCATGAGTTACTGATGAAATAAATTATTAAGAAGAGAAAAACTGCCACCAGTGTGCGTTATTTTTGGGGAATTTGGTATTGAACATGTTCCTTGGCTTCATTTCTATTAAAAACATTCTATTACCACATGCAAAAAAGATCCAGTAATACGAACTATTTACTTTGCTGTTTCAAAGTGCTTTTTCAGAGACCTCCAACACTTTATGTGCTACTCCAAGGGAATCTAACACGTATTTATGTTCACGTCTTATATTTATGTTCACGTCTTATTCCTGCTCCAGATATGTGATTCCACTGCAACTTAATATCCCCTAAATGCAATAAAAATATCTCAATACAAAAAGTTAGAAAGCTCTTTTGCTTTTTAAACACAAAGAAGTATGAAGAAAATACACACAAGTAATACAGAAAACTCTTGCTAGCATATAACATTTGGGATATGATTATGTTTTACAAATTACCTAGTAAAGTGCAGGCCTGCCTGGTGTTTACCATTTCCTTAGCATCATCAACACCATCAATCACAGGGCTTCCACCTTGCTTTGTATAGTGAAAGTAATTTGCATTCCCTGTAAGATAAAAAAAATAAATAAAATCTTTTACACACACTGATGCAGAAATTCACAGCACATCTGTACAGCTGTGTAATGGTTAAGTTGCTCTTAGCAGACTCTATGATTTGAAATATGTCAATATGTTTTCATTTTCTGGCTTGTAGCACCCACTTGTTCTGGAGAATATTTTTTTCAAGATTTAACAGTGCCAGTAAGTATTCTTAAGCTACTTGTTACCTACAATAGGCCCTAAATCATATTCTTTACCTAATCTTGGTTCATACTTCCACACCTGCAGAATAACCACATTGGAAGCAATCATTCTTCAAACCTGAGCCAACCACCCCACAGGTAGGTGCACAGCTGACAGCAGCACTTTGGGGTTACGTTGCAGGTATTAGTACGCTATTATTGTATGAGGATATTAAAAATAAATAGATCTATTTTGTCCTTGTTTTCTTCTCATTTCTCTTTTATAGTCTAGCCTAATCTTATAAATATCTGTGATCTGTCCTGGCTGAGAAATCTTGATTGAAGAACTGACAGCTTCCCGCCACTCTGGGGACAGCACTGGGCCTCACTGAGAAAGCAGTAGTTCTCTTTTGTGTTGTATACATTTCTACAGCTTTGGTGGCCAGGCTTTCAGCTGCAGTAACAGTCTCCTTTTCTTCTGATCTACTAACATTTCAAAAAAGCTGCAAGAGGAGTCTCCTACATGGCTTCTTTAGTCATAATTACATAAGTTAATCTCTTTCCCATGTTAGCAGATGTGAATCCTAAATGTGCCAGGATGGTTTAGAAAAGCGGAGAAATACTTAGAAACCAGAAAGACATTTCAGAAATCAGTACTAATATACTGTGCAGTTTTCCCACTAAGAAGCTAACTTTTAAAAATATACAAAAAGCATTGATATTTATATTGAATTTCTAAAATCATGATGGGATTGCCTGTCATCATAGCCCATTTCTTCTATAAAGTACCAGTTCCTTTTAAATGAGAAATCTGTCTCTGCACTTACATCTGAAAAAAAAGGAAATTTCCACTTATCAGATTTGTGATCACTGGATCAGCAGAGATGGTAAAATAACTGTTGGTAACAGCCCAAGTGGAGATGTGCATATACAAAATACTCTGCAAGTTTTTCAGGTGCTTATACCAGAAATGATAAAATTTTCCAGTAGCTGGAGACATGGTAAAAAGGTTTTAAAAGGACCAAGAGAAGAGAATTTCACCCTTGCAATTGGAAAACTGCTATGGAATCTGGACTTAGTAAGTTTTAATGCTTACAGTTGCAATGTATTAAAGTGTGCTGAATAACAAATCCATTACTTTCTTTTTAACTAAAAAGAACCAAGTCTGAGATCTGCCATTTCAGTTATTCTCAATATCTTTCAAATGAGGGTTAAAAAGTTTAGAATTTAAAAGCCAGCTTTTCTTCTTTTGGCTCTAAGACTCAAAAAAGCTCAGACATACTGCTTTGTACATACAGCTGCACAACACAATTAATGTGAATTTCATACCTAAGCGTAGAGTTTTAAATTCAGGTAATGCTGCAGAGGCACATAGTTGGTAAAAGATGTGGTAATTTCTCTCCTCTTCTGCCTTTAAAAGAAAAGGATTGATTATATTTCACCATTTAACAAGCACCAGAAACATCCACGAGCAGAAAAAAAAAAAATAAGTTTAATGCATTCTCTAGCATTACATTAAGAGCATAAAAGTCACAAGGAAAAAGGAAGATAAATCAGTAGCTATCATTTCCTTCTTTATTAATTTAATCCATTTTCCACAGTAAGAAGTATGCAGACATTTTTGTTTTTTTAAAAAATGCATGATTTCGCTTTTCAGAATTGTAGATTACTTTCAAATATAGATCAGGATTCTATGGGTGAGTGCGATGATCATACTTAAAGGCTTTTCATTTTCCAAAAATAACTAATACCATTTGCTTCAGCATTTATAGTAAGCTGGTGAAGGGAATATCTTTATTGCCAAGGCAAAGCTGGAATTTTAAAATGGAAGACAAACACAGCTCAGAAGGTTATGACTCATGACTAACACTGTAATTCTGAACTTAAGGGCTCTAAACCTCATAATTTCAAAACAAAAACAAGAAAAAAAACTCTCCTTTAGCTAAGTTATGCACAGCAAGTTTCTCTTATTTTTCATATATACAACAGTACTCGTATAACACCCTTACACAGTACAAATTGTAATTATTTGCTTTGTACCTTTAGGCAGACAGTCAAGGGTAAGTCAATTTTTACTAAGCTCTAGACTATAGGGTAAGCAAATATAGAGAGGAAGCATGGGAGACTAAAAGGTTGTAGATCTGCTCAAGTATGAAATACCAAAATGAAAAGAGTTAAAGAAATATTAAGTTACATATTCTCTTAAGTCTCATTTGTAATTATTGTGATAGCAGTGGGTTTTACCAAAAGATTTAAAGTGAGCTAAGATGGCAGCTTTACAAACCACAACAGAAAGCTCTTGAGCATGAGTATTTCTGTTAGGTTTTGAAGCCTGATCCTATAACACTATGGCGAGCACAAACTCTTATCTAGCACTGAAGATATTTCTTGTTAAAATACACAGCCTTTTTAATATACGTTTTACGGCTATCAATAATTCATATACTGAAGACTGACATGGTTTTCCTTGACCTAACATCAGCAAGCAACAGCTTTTTTTTTTTTTTTTTTTTTTTTTAAGCATAGTCACACAAATATAAAATGAGAAGATTGCATCAGTATTACCTGAAATACCACTCTTGACTTCTCCAGGAGGTAAGTTCTCATGTTAGCACCAATGATTCGGTATCTCTTATCAAAACCAATTTCAATGTATTTCCCAAAGCGACTGCTGTTGTCATTCCTTGTTGTTTTGGCATTTCCAATTGACTATAAAAAGGGAATTTTGTAAAGGTTGAAGAACTATTAGAAATTATCATATCTATTTAATCATCTACATTGCTCACAAATACATAAACATTATTTTGTCCAGTTTTCAAAACAATTAAGAATGATCTCTGCCTGGTCATCAAAAAGATGGTTATTTCATTGACATGAGATCCGGAGTTGATCGTCCTAGTAATGATGTCACTTCCACATACTCTAATTTTCCAGCTAAAAAATTATTTGAAGTCTTTTAAAAGGAATTAAAGAGTCTAACAGAAACCTCACATACAGCCAGTTTTCTTCTAAGAGTTTAATAAAACTATATCCATTATTTCACACTGCATATATTCACAATTGCATGTACAAAGATACATGTACAGTACTTGCAACCTGTGTAAATTTACCTATTGCAAAGCCGCAATCCAGCAAACTGCCCCTATACTCTTAACATTTTTATTGCTATTGTTCCAGAACCAACTACATTTCCAAACTCCCTCTGCAAAAATACTGTTATAAAATATTTAGTGTGTTCCTAAATATAATCTAAAAGTTAACATGTACAGACCCATGTTGTTTGCCTGAAAGTAAATTTCTTCAATAGCAGATTGGCTATAGATTTCGAGACAGTCTTCAGTGCTGTCTTCAACGTGTGAGTAACTTATTTAGATTATTCAAAATAGCTTTATTCATAATAAAAAATATTTAAGGTATGTCTTCAATAGTATGTGCTCCTGGGATATCCAGGGCAATGGTGGCCATGGAAGCAACGCAGTGTTGGCGCAGCTGTGACTTACAGCAGCTCACCTGTGTTAGGATTCACACCACTATGGGTACCAGACTGGAAATATCAGCATTTTGAGACATGCAAATCACAACATGCTGAAATTCAAAGGAAAGAAGCTTTTCTTCTAAATGGGATCATATTATAGTCATCATATGGCAATTCACCTTTCAAAAAGTCTGAAAGATATCTCTGTTTCAAAAGGAATAGCATTCGGTGTAACTCTTACACAGCACATTATCTTTATTCATATGCCACTGTGTTTATGTGATCAAGTACCTCACCCTGAAATGCACCACAACTAAAAAAAGGCAGAGCTATATCTATGTCCCAGGTTTTTTGTTCATGTGGACATCCATAGGAACTCTGTACTGAAATAAATTTGGGCAAAACCAAATGAGTACAAATAGCCATGCTGAGTATCAGTATTCCAAATCTGTGAGAAGAACAGTGAATCAGTAAATGCTAGCAGGGTACAGCACCGAAAGCTGGGATTAGACTTTGAGAAACCACATTACAGCAGCAGCAGCACACACGCGTGACCAAGCAGATGCCCAAGTGGTTATCAGATGAACAGTTGCTAGAAAGGTTGTAAGACCAAATTGCATCTTTGCAGTTCTAAGAAATACTGAATTCACTCAAACTGAACGCATTCAAACTGCATTCTTGTGTTTTAAAATTATTGCTCCCATGATGTGTTTTTTGTTGTAGGCAGCAATGTAACGTTACAATATTTTCAGAAAACAATCATTACTTTGAAAGGACCTATTCCAAAGTCCCATGCCTGTATGTATGAACACAATTAAGAAAGTCTTCGCATTATAATGACTGCTGCCCAAGGTACCCAGTAAGCTGTACACTTTGTATAGCAACACAGGGTAGCAAAGAAAGAGAGGAAGGAAGTTACGTATAAAAATATGTTTTAAGACTTGACTATTTCTACATTTGCAATAGACAGACTGTATATAGTTATTAGCTATAAAACTGATTACTCAAGAAGTTGCTAGAAATGTAGAATTTATTCACTTGATATTAGAGTATTTAGTAAGCAAACATGATGTGAAATTCTGACACTAATGGTGGTTGTGATATACAAATTAAAAAATTACCTTCTGCTCAACTTAGCAAATGTGAAGTTCAACATTTCTAAATTTCATTACTTAGCTTCTTTCTGTTTTGTGTTTCTGCTGATTTACCAGCTGAAGAGTTCAAAACATTAATTTTGCTACCCCAATTTTTGTGTACAACTTCACATTTCACAACACTTGTTTTAAATCTTATTTAAAGCTCAAGTGTTAGAAGTTAAAAGGTAACTTTCATCCAAATATAACTTCTGAAGTGATTCCAACTTTATATCTTCACAGGTTCATGAAATCATTATTCCTAGAAGATAAAATGAAAGTGCCAACAAACCTCAACATCGCCAAAGATGGTATAACACTAATGCCAAAGCTGGAGCAGTGAAAGGAGTACTCAGGGACTAGCTCACCCGTGCAACACTCCTAATTGCTCCCAAGGGCCCAGGCTGCCACTGCTGGGGTAGGTGCAGCTCAAGGCAAAGCTCAGCACTCCTGACTTCTTACCATCACTTGATACGTTGGTTACTCAGCAGCAGAGCCCACTGCCCATCATGATACAGCTCATTTTATCCCACAAAACAGTTTCAAACCACCACACAGCACTACAAACCAGGCATGATTACCTTGTGACAGAACACACAATTGTGATGGGGCAGCTATAGCCTGAGTATCATGAACTCCTCATGCCAGGAGGAAAAAAAGGAATAAAACACAGTTCATTTTTTAAATATCTGAGGAAAAAAAAACAATGACAGCATCTTGCATTTCACATTTCACTGTGTGCATTCCATTTGCTCACATCTATTCATTAATAACTCATACTATTGCATAGAGATGCTAAACATCTAACAAGACATCAATCATCCTAAGCATTTTCTTAGTTAACGTGCCTTCTTAGCTTGTGCTCGTTCATAGATAGAGCTCTTTCTCTTAAGAAATTCCCCCATGACTGCTTATCTCTGGTGAATTGTTTCCTTATACAAGGTTCCAGACAGAGACCAGAGGAGAGCCACAAAGATAAGTAAGGGCCCGGAGCATCTCCTCTCTGAAAAACAGCTGAGAAACCTAGGTCTGTTCAGTCTGGAAAAGAGAAGACTGAGAGTGATCTATCAATGTTTATAAATATCTAAAGAGTGGAAGAGAAATGGATGGTGCCAGGCTCTTTTCAGTTGTGTACAGTGATTAGAGAAGGGTCAGTGGCCAAAAACTGGAACACGGCAAGTTCCATACAAACTTCTTCACAGTGAGTGTCACAGAGGCTGCCCAGAGAAGTTGTGGAGTCTTCTTCTCTGGAGATATTCAGGACCTGCCTGGACACTTTCTTGCTCAGCCTACTGTAGGGAAACTACTTTTAGCAGGGGGCTTGGACTTGATGGTCTCCAAAGGCCCCTCCTAATCCCTACAATTTTGTGGTTCCTTAACTTCAGCTGCAACTTGTATCTACACATGTAGGCAAAGACACAATAGGCAGAAAATAATTCCGATCAGGGTTTCTGCTTGGCCATGACATCAGCATTACAGCATCTCCTGAGCTTCCTGTAGATCAGTGATCCTGAGCAGTAGGGAACTGTACATGTTATCCCACAGTCTACTGACAGCGCCCGTGCTCCCAAGCCAATGGCTTTGGGACTTGACTACATTTAGCACAACCTTTGTTGTACACAAATGAAACATCACCGTCTGAGCTAATTATTGCCAAATTATGTCTTCTGTCATTTTTCCCCTCTGAAGCTGTGTACATCTCGTATAAGTTTTCTTTCTCAATTTAACTTCCATGATGACATTTTTACTAAAATTTAGTATTTGCTTTATTCAACAACTACCAGTATTACAAAGCTGAAAAGATTTACAGCAGTATTCCTATAAAAATTACTTTGTTATGTGAAATACTTTAATACTGTAACATTACCCCATCTCTCACACCATTTCATAAATACTGCACAAAATAATGATTACAGCACTTCCCAGTAAATGGATTAAAAATTAAATTTTAAAACATAGTCTGGGGTTTTTTGATGCCTATAAAAGTAAGAACCGATCTCTTTACTGAATGCTTGTGTTAGCCCCCAAACAATTACTGCAACTGAAGGGTAGGAGTTAGTGCAATAGCTCTCTTACCTCCATTATGGGGTTGGAAGCCAAGACTTTCTCCTCAACATTGGCTTCACTGGCAGATCCACTGACCGTGGCGAAGTACCTCATGGCATACTTGGCAGAGACTGTCTTCCCTGCCCCAGATTCTCCACTTACAATGATTGACTGATTTCGCTCATCTCTGAAACACAAAGACATACTGATTACCAGCTATTCTCTCAAGGACACTTATGTTTTATGTTCCCAGCTTGGCAACAATCATTCCACCATAAATGTTAGCAGTAGAGCAATAATGTAAAGCATGTGGCAGAAACAAAGCTGTCAGTGATAAAGCTCCCTGAACGGCTAATTGGGCTGCTGGTGACCAGGATGCTCATTCAGGACCGAGGCTGCCCCTGCAGTTCAAGCAGCCATCATTTTGTTCAACAAAACCTGACCAAAACACCTGTTACCACCATAACACTCTGTTCTTCTGCAGCTACTTCTATTCAGAGTGTCTGGTAAAGCACCTCACTAATCAGTGCTCATTAGTAAAGATCATTAATGCTATCTTACAGATAGAGAAACCAAGAGCAGAGTTAGCAACAGAAACCCTTCATCCTTCTGATCTAATCACCAACTTTTCCCAGAATTGTTTTTAATCTGAAAAATTCAAGCAGGACTGTTCAGGACACACGTAGCAGATCTGGAGCAGAGGACCCCTTTGTCGTAAAGATATTTCTTCTCACTACAAAAATATTTTTTAAAAAATGGATCTTAATTTGCTAGGCAAGTAATTTTCCGTCACCCCAAAGAGGCCTCTACCCATAAACCCTGACTGTATGACTTAAAAATAGACTACAAACCAACAGTGACAGAAATTAGCATTTCTATAGCCTGGCTCTTTTTTAAAAAAAAAAAAAAATATATATATATATATTTATACCATACTGTATATTTCCAAAATTTAAAAGAATATTTCAAAATCCTCCTGTGAGCTGGGTGAGTTTAACTCTGTCTTACATACTGGAAAATGGATAAAGAAGGAATAAAAATTTACCCCAAGGATTTAGAAAGCTGGGTGGGGCTTGAACTAAAGAGTGTAGCCAAGCCCCAGACCAAGCTGCACTTACAGTACTGTAATGCTGGATAAAAGTTCAGGCACGCATATATGTTCAAACAGCATATATGAAGCCTGCACAGCCTCCAAATGCCTGCTGAGGCCACAAGTAAATGCTATGCAGGGGAAGTGAAGAAATATGCATGAAAAATCTATCCGTGGTTTCTGTACCCTCAAGGCCCTCCAGGAGGTGTGGGGTTCTACTTCTGACATTTAAAAAAAAAAGGTGCTGATGAAAATAAGAAGCTAAATTACAGATCACATGTTTGCTCTCAAGCTGTTACATATCTTCAAAAGCACCCCCAAGCCTCCAGATAAGAGCACAGCTCCAGCATCTACTTCATGCTGCACACAGATGTAGGCTAAAGGGAGCCCCTGGTAACATCTCCTATCTGCGAGAGCCAAGGTGTGATTCATCTAACCAAAGGAATTCATTGGGCAAAGCGGGTTCTTCACATTTTGGTAAAAGGAAAGGGCTGGGTGTTGCTTTAAATTTAATATGAAAGTGTTAAGAAGATCAAAGCAACCTAATTTTGTGTTCTCAACTTCCCTTTAACACATAGGATAGGTGCGAATGACTGCAGCACAGTTCACACATTTGCATACATCAAGCTGTCGGTCTCAATGGGAAAAGTGGGAAAGTGTAACTAGGCAGCTGGTGCCAGGTTACGGATAGCCACGTTAGGTATGCCCAGCTGCCAGGGATGCCAGCCCTGGGCATGGGGAAATTAAAACATGGGCCTGTTGAGACATCTCCTTTACAAAGGGCATCAAGCCTGCTCCAGTGAGGCCTGCGGCGGTAGGGCAGCTCACAGCAGAGACAAAGACTTCCATCTGGGAAAGGAAGAAGAAACGCTCTTGCTTCTTCCTCATTCCCTGCTCGCAGAGTTCATCCGGGGTGGATACACATGCCTGTGGCTCTGCACATCGGGGGCCAGAGTGAACTATGCTGGTGCTCTCGTCCAAAAAGAGATGCAGAAGGACATGAGAGGAGTCCAGCTGAAAGCATGACATCTAGGCCTAAATGGGACGACTGACAACACACAGCCTTCCTCTCACACAGACAGTTCCTGCAGTGAGTCACTAACAGAGAATAATTTCTTCGCAGAATCAGCAGTTTTTCTTCCCCCGGTGCTCTTTGACGTACGAAAAAATCCCCAAACCAATACCATTATAAAATAGAAAATTTCTGGTCTGATTTCAGGAGCTGCCTAGCACAGGAGGCCAGCAATAACATTACAAGCTTTTCGTTTGTAGATCACCATACTGTGCTACCAAGAGAGGGACAAAAAAATAAACGTGTCTCATGGTAATTGTCACTTCCCTGAAGGATCAGCTCCAGTAGCTGAGAAATCCCACGAGTTCCATCTACTGCTCCAGCTGTGAGGCACGAAGGTACACGTAGTGAGAGTGGCAGGAATCAATGATATATCAAGTTTATTACTGCTATTCAAGAAGCACTTTCCAAAATCATCAGGTGATTTACAGAAATATCTTCTGGAGCTGTTATGAAATAGGATCCTCGTGTTTTGAATACTAATAGGAAACTGGTAAAAGCACATTAACATTTTAGACCCGAGCAAGTCCCTGAAATCCTCCCAGCCTTCTGTTTACAAAGACGCTTTACTACTCATATAGAGAAACAATGGCTTCATTTTAGAGAATGAACCCACACCCATGCCTCATCTTGCAGCATTTCCAAAGCTACCAGTACTGAATCGCCAGTCACTGCCCCATCTCTCCTCATCCCACAGCTAATTCCAACAGAGATACTTTACCCAGTCTAGTGTGTATCAAAGCCTGCCTCAAAATTGCTTCGAGGTCCTCCCTTATTATTTCAATCCAGACAAGCACTGAAAAAACAAAACCAAACAATGTGCATGACTTCCTTCCTTGAATAACTGGCATACTTTTTAATGAAGAAGGTGGAGAAATCAGCAGAAACTGAGGGGAGTTACCACAAACCAAGACAGAGGGCAGACCATCCAGCATGTATGTGTGAGCATTCAAAGCACACACGGCTTTTGTTATCGGGTTGGGCATTCAGGAACAGCGGGAAAACACTCATCTCCTCAGAGAACTTCCATGTTTACAAAGACGATAATGAAAAACGAGGCTGAAATAATTCCTCCTGAAGAATACTGTTGCTACTTAGCCTGGAGTACCCCCTCCCCACACCACGAGATATGCAGGTCTCCTCTTCCCACGGCACTCCTGCATGTGCTCAAAATAAAGGATCCATTCCTATATTCCTGTGTAAGTATAAATACACACACCTTTTAGAAATTTGCTTAGAGAAGATATGGCTGGCTGTGTGAGCTAGAAAAGCTGCTGTCCTCTATTCTGCAATGAATATTTGTATTTGCAAAAGCTAAGGCAGTCATGAGAAACAAAGGCCTCTGTCTGCAGCCAGAGCCTCTGGCATTGCCCTGCCAGAGCTCCATTCACCCTCAGACTCCCTTGTCCTCACGAGTACATCAGTCTATTGTTTGGATTTAACACACTGGAGTTGCCATTCTCTAGCACATTATTCTTTCTGCTTTTTGGCACAGAGAGAGGAAAACACAGCAAAACATCCAAGATTGCAGCCAATGCCCGGAGAAGGTGCAAGGACAGCGTAACACAGCACCCCACAGCAGGGTCAGCGGCCGCTGCCACAACCCCAGACGAGACTTGGCACATGAACGTCCGACCAGGCAGCAAGATACTCAGGTCTTCAGAGAAGGAAGGCTGGTCCTTCCTGGCAGCCACAGCACTTCTGCAGAGAGGTCTTCTACATCGCTGAACTTTAAGGAAACAGAACGCCACATAACTGGGAAAGAAAACACCAGCTGGGAAGGAAAACACCAGAATTTGAATATATTGGGAAGTGCATAAAATGTGCAGAGAATATATTTTGGTTTAGTACAAACAACAGTCTAAAATACCTCTGCTTATGCCAAATGACATTTTCATAATGTCTGTATTAAAAAACAAAGAAACAAACAAAAAACAGAAAACACAAAGAGCATTTGAGTTCTTCCTTGCAGAGAGAAATACCAACTTTGGAGTTATTTTCAGTTAAATCACCAGTCCTCAACCTTTGACCTGATGTTGTGAGCACTGAACATGTCACCAGTTGCAAAAGAAGCACTATAATTAAAATTTTCAGCCAATAAAACAAGTAGGGCAACAGTGTTGTGCGTGACACCACTTAGTGGTCTGATGCCACACTCTCTTATCTGTGCAATATGTCTCCATCGTCCTGCTTCTTCTCAGTGTAAAGCACATAATTAGATGATTTTAAAATGAAGATTACTTCTGAATGGACAGAACTTTTTAATTATGCTTTTACAACAAGAGCTGAAGAAAAGCAAACTGGGAGATGAGAAGCTGGAGTCCTCTTTCACTGAAAGGTGGATAATGATCGCAGCCAATGATACACAAATACATCACAGTGACATGATACTAAGCCAAACTAGCTTGAAAACAGGCATTTAGTCACAGCAGACTGAAACAGATCGACTGTGAACAGCCTACCACTCACAGAAACGTGAAGCGTTACTTTGAGGTGTCGGTCAGGATCACACTCAGCTTTTTCCATTTCTGAACAGTGCACAAGGAGAAGGGAATGACAAAATAAATAAATAAATAAAAATCAGGGTTTGTGACGATAGGCCTGGCCATTTCAGAAACAAAATGATGGGCTGAGATTGCTTTCAGCAGCAGGGGACTTGGCTCAGAAATCGTCCACATCTTTCTCTCAGGCCTACACTTTAAGCACTGCATGATGATCACAGCTAGTTCTTGTCAAATAGTGACACCCTATGGAATAAATAACACTATTTTCCTTATCAGTTATCTATCTCAAAAATAATGTCTAACTTTGAAAGGCAATATTCAGTCACTGTATCCAACCTGTACGCAGCTCTATTCTGCAGCAAGTAATGGTCATAGAATAAGCAATAAATGTCACTAATTTTTCATCATCATAATTCCAGTAGAAGACAAACAGATTTGTGCATAGGCTGGTAAATTTTAAATACAATTTTCCTCTACCTACAAAATCCCATTGACAAGGCAATATGTTTAGGAGGAATTTT